ATGCGTAAAAGCGACCTCGATTGTAGCAGATTTATTTACTTTTACCTACTCGTACATTGCGCACCACACTTGCATTTATTGCTAATTATTTACCGACTTTCTTGTCATTTAACGACCTTTATACTATGTGCGCTGTACCATGCTGCGGGTGACAGTTGCCTTTATTTATTCACTAGAATATTCTAGCTGGGTTAAATTTAAGTTACTACAGTTATTAATGATTTAATATATTACGAAGGGGGTAATGTAGTACAGCCGAAATATTGAGTCATAATTTGTAAATCGCGGCAACTTTCAAGAGTGTAACGAAACATTACTGAAACTGTCACCCGCACAATGCTACAGCGCACATAGTATAGTAGGTATAATTTATTAAATGACAATTTTTTGTTTTATTAATATATATTTTACAGCTCTGGATGCAAGTCCTTTTGAGCCCAACTTAAACTTTACAATTTACTTAAATTACAAAAAATAAAGTCAATGTTTTTACAATGTTGATCATTCAAAGTGATATTATTATTATACAAGCAATTAAGTGTAATTAATATTTCAAATCTGACCCCAAACATGCAGGAGAAATTCGAAATAATGTCACTTAATTACTCAGTCACAAAGTTCACAAAGTTGTATCTTTTGATGGTTTTAGATTCGATCTCCGTAAAATACAAACATTTAGATAATATCCTTGGACAATGTACAGAGTAGTTAATTAGTACCAAGGTAAACAGAGCTTGTTTATAGTACTATACAGTTCATGTAAATACATAGATAACTTTTTTGATTCATAAGTAATATCTGTTTGTTACCTACTCATGAACAATTTTGAGTGAAAAAAATATTTGAGTATGTCTTTCAGTTGTTTATTACCCGTAATAAGTTTTATTTAGTTTCGTTTTTTAATGAACGATAATGGAGTGGTGCACCCGGTGTGGTAGTAGTGGTGGACGATGAGCATGAAGTCAGATCAGTTAGCCGATCGTAGCGAGTTTACCAAGAATTATTCACAATAGTTTCTTGAGAAAGACGGCTAGTCCTTATTACTAAAACAATTCCCTTCCTGCCCCCTTCAAAAGTGCTTATATTAAGTTTATTTGAATAAATAATTTTCTATTCTATTCTATTCTTAGTTTGAGACTATACGGAGCTGTGTTAACGTACTACTAATGTTACGTACTAACGTTGTGACATTATTAAAAAAAAACTGACTCCAAACTTGTAGCCTTACAGGAAGATACAACGATGAACTTCAACTTCAACTTCAACTTTTGTTTTTTTTTAAATTATATATCATTTATTTTTAAGCGTTCAATGAAAATTATGAGTGAGAAAAGGTCTTTCAAATTGTTATTAGAGCAGTGTTTTGTTTTTTTAAGAATGGGAAAGCAGGAATTTATTCATACAAATATAGCAGGCAGATACACATGTGCGGTCATCCGGACATGAGTAGCTATTTATTTGTGAGAAATAGCATATCGTGAGAAAACAATTGTGTTTTTTTTTAACCATTAATTGCTTGATCGAACTATTTTACTTCAAGGATTTAATTAACTAACATTTTTAAAAATTGTATCGTAAAACTATACAATACAATTTGGCTCTAATAAGAATTGTCAACACTTAGATGACTTAGACCTCGATTGAGGATCTTACTTTGGTTTTTAAGTTGCAGATTATGCGTGTTTTGAATTTTAGTTTTGATAATAAGAAATTAAGTTGATTCATTCACAACGTCGTTTTGAGTTTAGATTTTTTTTAGTTCGATTTTTAACCATCTCAGGGAAAAGCAAAAGAACTCAGCCTATACAGCCACTAACAAATTTAGATAGATAATTTATTTGCATCTAGCAATTTTTTTTTCAGGTCCTAGATTAAAAAAAAAGCACAAATATTAGTCGTATAAAGTTTTACTAAAGAAGTGAAAATTGACTAAACCAGTCAAAATGAGGTGTATCAGTCGTTAGGGTGCTTATGCAGTAACCACATTGATTAGATGATGAATCATAACATGAGTCATGTCATTGATATGCTTCTATGGTTTTTTGGTAATTCTTCGTCAATGCCGTATCTTTATCGCTAGTAGCCTTCCATGACTTTGCCCGGGTGCTTTTATAAGGTTTTATATATATATATACAAATATAATAGACATAAAGCTTATATGACTCTTAAATAATATCATATATTGTATGCATCAAACAGTGATAGAATTTCTCAAGAAGAAATGGTTCCAGAGATATTTTTTCTTAAAATAGAATCCACTCTCTCTCCCTTAAAAATATTAGTATATATTTGTAATGAGCAGTAAACATAATTGTTATTAATAAACATATTTTAAATTACGAATTATTATCAAAGCCAGTTATAATCGCGTGTTGGTTATTAAAATATACGTTATTTTATTCCAATTAAAATAACAATGTTTTTATCGCATGCTTTATTTACTTTAATGATCATTACAAAACAACATTCCTACAAAATTTAATTTTAATTGTGTTAATTAATATAAATCCTATTTTGCATTGATTTAAATTAAAAAAAAAATCTTAATAAACATCTATCCTAATATTTTTTTCTATCAACTCGAAATTGTTACATATAATTTTGCAATACTGCAACCTAAATCGAAATCAGCAGCCCAGTTTCCCCATCACATCGACCTTCACTCTCCAAACCACATGGTGTTGGTTATTAAAATATACGTTATTTTATTCCAATTAAAATAACAATGTTTTTATCGCATGCTTTATTTACTTTAATGATCATTACAAAACAACATTCCTACAAAATTTAATTTTAATTGTGTTAATTAATATAAATCCTATTTTGCATTGATTTAAATTAAAAAAAAATCTTAATAAACATCTATCCTAATATTTTTTTCTATCAACTCGAAATTGTTACATATAATTTTGCAATACTGCAACCTAAATCGAAATCAGCAGCCCAGTTTCCCCATCACATCGACCTTCACTCTCCAAACCACAAGACTACATAAAACTAAAAAAAAATCATAATATAGTTGTTACACTATTAAGTAGTCTGATTGAATCAAATACCTCAGGCGGCCTAATAGTGTAACAACTATGTTATGACTTTTTGATATTAGCACAGAGCAATTAACACTGCGCACAAACACAGATCAACTAACTACTTGCTATTAATTATTTATAACAGTTGGCACCGCATTTATCAGAAGTAAACCAAAAGCGGATCTATGTAATAATTTTAATGTACGCAATGCATCTAAAAAAGAAAAGTGTGCAACAGGTTCACGCAGAAAATGTTTTATATTAATTGATGCGGGGATTGCACTTGTGGCAATTCAAATTGTAAAGCAAATAATTGTATGCAAATATGCGTGGTTGAAAAAAACAGTTACACAGATTCATACCAAATATAATTTATTTCTTGTGACGCAAGTCTGCATAAAATCTTAGTCCAATACCACAGACTCTAAAAGTATTGCAGCTATATTAAAATTTTTTGATAGTACTCAAGTTGTGGTTTCGTTTATTCTTCTGTATGTAGTTCGTGATGTCATACGCAGTTTCCACAGATTAAAATTACTTCAACATGCCGATAAGTGTCGACATAAAATATAGACGAAAATATGTAAAAATAATAATATCAATGGACATGCCGACGTGGGTCTACAATTTAGACCAATTCGCCGGTAAGACATGGCATGACTAAACACAAGATAGAGAGGTTTGGATGTATGAGGGGTAGGTCTTTGCCCACCAGTGGAGCTCTTATTAAAAATAAATTAAATTAAAAAATAATACCAATATTTTTTTTAATTCAGGGCCGTTCGTACTCGCTATTTAATTCGTATGGGTGACGAGAAGCTTATGCATATTCCAAATTTATTTTATTGTGATTATACGTATTATAATTTAGAATATTGCTACTTACAGTAGCCTACTTTTTACGGACAGTTACGAGTATAAAGATATAGTAGAATTTAAATGTATTTAATATTATTGAAAAATTAAATTTATAAGACAGTGATAAGGTTTATTTTGGTTGCACAAGCATTTAAAAAAGTCCTAAATTGATAGCCAAATGACGTTTATATGTAGACCATGCTGATAATATTGGCCATCAAAAAGGATTATTTGTAAAACTGATAAGGCATTTAATTTGATAAAAACATTATAAAATGGAAATGTAAAATTAGTTTTATATTTTAATTTAATTGTAATTACAAAACATGAAAATAAAATTAGAGAGGATTTCATAAAATGGGCCCGTCGCTTAAAAATAAATACGGATAAAGAGTGTATTGGACCGCATTCCAATAATAATTTATTTCGGTTCCGACACTGAGCAAGTAATCACTGCGAGTCCCGAATACCAAACCAAAATGAGGAATAATTTATGATCACGATTCTAAACTGATTCTAAAATTTATATATGTAGGTACGTCAAACATTATGTTTTACACTTTAAATTTGGAACTCAAATTATTACCTACAATAGATTCAGAATATGTCTCTACTGAGTGGAATTCAAAATTGTATCTATTGTGATTTTGAAAAGTGAACTGTAGTCCAAATTCCTGAGCAGTATTATGTCACAATAACATTTCTTTATACAGAGTAATATTATTCGATAATTTGAAACTACCTACATAAATTAATAGGTACATAACTATACGTTTACTAGTAGTTTAGTATACCAAATTATCAAGTTATATACAATGTACGACTTTTATTTAAGTATTCTGAGGATAGGTCGGGAAATTGTAATCAATATATTTAAAAAATCAACCTGAGGGTTTCATGAAATTAATAACTATTAAATAGAGTAATTACTTACCCGATATAATAAACGACGTAACTCATTTTAATAACCTGATGAAATCCGTTAGAACAACACCTGAAGTGGTCAGCCCACGCACACATTCGTATTTCGTGTAGGAGCACACATTCGAATAGGTATTTTATATTGACGATTGAAACGTGTACGTTATAAATTTTTGATGGCGCCGACTTACCCGATTAGATTCCAAGGCTTCGGCACTGTGCTCCTCCTTCTGTCGGAAGCAATTGGTGCACTTGCTCTTATTGAAGATGTTTGGTGCAAATTTCCTGCAATCCGATCGCCCAGACATGTTTGACAGAGGTCAGGGTCAAGTCAACGTTCACTATGTCACCGTACACAGCATGGTGGTACTATAAAACACCCACACTAGACGATAATCGCCTTTTTCAAAAATCGAACACGTAGTTTATCACGCGCGCACCCACCGGTGAGGTATCAGCAAAATCACTGCTAGTGAAGTGAGCGTTAACTTCGTCTAAAAAACACATGCACTAACACACATCTACTTCGGCAACCGAACACCGAAGTAGTCGAACAATCGAAATATCAATATTCGTTTTCACGTCAAAATTTTAAAACAATAAACATCGATATTACATCGAACACGCGGAGTTCGCGAGTACGTAACGACACGACCATTCGTCCATCTTACATCTGATAGAAAACGACTGACTGAACTGAACGCAGTTGTTGTTTTACAACTTCTCTTTTCTTGTTTATACGCTCAACTTAACGTGTAACTGTAGTGGTTTTTATGTATGTGTGTGCTATTTGACCATCTCACTCGGTTTCATGAAATATGAATACAACTATCCTTTTCGCACAGTTGATTAATAATCTTATTCTCTGTAGTGACACCTAGTGTAAAATCATGTGTAAGCATTTTCCACCTACAGAAAAAGCGACGCGGGAGCACACTCGCCGCGCCTAGTACGGTAGAGATTTATAACATTAAATAGAGATGGCGCTGTCTTACTTTGCAATGTAATATGTATAGAAATAATTAGTTTATTTTGATTCTTCTTTATTAACAATAGCAGTAGTTAGCTATATTATTCCCGCATGCGCTAACAAATTAAGCTGGAGGATGATAAGCTGAGCATTAGGTCAAATCAGTTAGCCCATCGTGGCAAATTCACCAGGAATTTATCACGATAGTTTCCAGAGAGAACCGCATGCAGGTCTACCATACATGGTACATTGCTAGCAATGGGTCCTATCCCCCATTGCTATCATTGCCCTTTTCCCCGGTCATTAATTTAATGTATTACCAATGTACCCAACATTGGTAATATATTAAATTAATGACCACCGCCGTCTTAAACTACCCTGGGCCCGTGGAAAGCATCGCATCGAAATCAAAAAAAAGCTCATTAGGTAAAAACATAGGAATAGGCAAAGTAATCGGTATAATGGCGTAATACATGCCTTGTAAATAACATTTGTTAAAAAAGTGTAGTGTGTCAGTGTGTGACAAAAATCTTTTGAGAATAAATGTGTGAGAAAAATTGTCAGTCCTTCGTGGGGCCCCTGAGAATAGGTACCCTGGACACGGGCCCCGTGTGCCCTTATGGTAAAACCGGTATTGTTAATGACGAAGTAAAAACAAATATAATTATCATTCACTACCTCTTTTAAATTCATGGTTATAGGTTAAACAATATAGAAAAACATTAGAAGACAAATAAGTTTAAGTTTTGTTTAGTAACATTAGTCTTCTACAAAATATTATACATACTTAAATAGTTTAAAAAATATTTTATTGATTGTTCATTGCTTTCTTCCATTTCTCTAATAATTGAGTTAAGGCTACTTTTAATGCGAAAAAGTATTGAAAGGGGAAATGAAAGGCTATATGAGGATATCCTTGTAAGATTAGGTGAAAAGTATTAGATGTGTAAGGGACGTTATTTAAAAAATATCAGTGTTAATGTCATTGTGTGATCGTTTTTTTATGATTTTGCAGTAACAGTGTAGTGCGCAGACCTCACGGCGCCGCAAAAAAAATACGTAGTATAATTTTTGCTTGCTTATTTTGAACCAAATATCTTTTTAAGCAATGAACAAAAATAAAACAATATTTTCGCGTGGATGAGAAGAAATTATAAGAAATAAAATATTTGAGGAGATTTACAGAAGAAATAAAATTGGAGTTGATAGAAATGCAAGTCATTGATTCATTAATGGAGGACTATTAAGCAAGAATTGTTTACAAGTCACAAATTTAAGCACCTAGAATATCAAGAATACTACATATAGAACGATCCTGTTACATTAAAAAAACCAGATGAGCTGTTTTAATTTAATATCATAATGTAAAAAATGCACTGTGTAATAATAATCTATCTACATATGTAAGAACAATTTACACAGCGCTATCTAGCCCCAAACTAAGCATTTCTATAAGATATTAAACCACTGATAATAATACTTAAATATATTTTTTGTAACAACATACGTAATATAGAAAACATACAAACCGATACAAACAATAAAACTCTTCAATAAAAATGTTTGTACCGTGTTATGATCGAACCTATAACTATCTCAGGTAAGGTGACGTTCTAGTAACGGAGATAAGTTACAAGTCACATTAAATATGTTTTCTTGGGGTTAAGTTAGAATAAATTTGGAGGTAAAACCTGACGGTCATCTAGCAACATTGTTTGTAGTTTTTCCCTGGGCTGTTAAGTATTGTCCAAAGCCGTAAAGCCACTAGATAAAAAAAAAAGTATTTGCCTGCCGTTCTTCGGTTTTTATTCGTTGTTCATTCGATTAATTTCGGTTTTGGTGGTGTGATCGTGGTGTGGTTTTTCGTGGGCGGCTCCAATTTAACGATAAACTTTATTTAATTATAATATTTGCATACCACCGCGTAAACCGCATACGCTACATGTGATCTAATAATTTAATAAAGTTAAAATATTCATCGGCTAAAGGATAATATAATCAAACATTTTTGTTTCCTCATTTAATTTCAAGGTGACAATTCGGCGTCTAGATTAGTATTTCATAGTTATTTCACGGTATATCGTGTTCATAAAATTCATGTGCGGAGGAATTTGAAATGTCTTCCATTAAAAGCTATTTAATAGTAGTTTAGTCATCGGTAACAATAGAAATCGTGGCCATACATTATTGTTGTCCAATATAGGCAGCGGTATCTCGTCGTGAATAATTATTTTTTTAATATGGAAGAGCTTAGTTTTATTCCGGATATCCCGAACGGGCCTCTAGATGTGTATAGAAATAGCGCTACATTCGATTGGAAACGATTTAAGCTGTCCTTGGAAGGAGATAAGGAACTGTTAAAACTTAAGGTGAGTTGCTTCATACAGCTTACACGAATCTTTTCTTTTATGTGTGAATTAATGGCAAATAACCTGAGGGATCTCCTGATGGTAAGTGGTAACCGTCGCCTATATAGACCTATACATAAACAGGATCACGGAAATCGCATCATTATGTGACTCCTGCTGTACCACTTCCTTCGTAATTTTTTTCCCCATGTATTAATGTTATGCTTCTCTATGCTGTAATTTCTGTGAGATATGGCATTGAAATTTTGCTGCCTCATTTCTCTTCAACCAAAACAATTAAGCATGTTGCTTGGTGGCTGAACTGAGTTCCCCCACAGACTATTTCATGCAAAAACTGCTTTGAAAAATATGAAGTGCTGTGTCCATGTACATATCTATACTAGTTTTCTATTATTAAGAGCATGTACAACACAATTGGGGTCCAATGAAATGAAACTGATTTGTACGATTATGGTACACAAGCTTTATCCTCACAACATTTTTGAGATAAAAATTACCTAATGTTGAACCTCATGCCACAATGTATCTTAACATAAAATTCTGTTTAATGAAAAGGTAACAGACACAATGTATAGGCTGCCGAACAGAAGAATTGAGTTACAATGTAACTTTGGAACTTAACCCATAAAAATATTGAGTCAAGAATGCAACTTAATACTATTGGGTAGTATTGTTAAAACTGTAAATGGGTACATACCCATATTGCAAAACTGCCCTAAGGATGGATACATAGTTTAAACAAAAATATCCAATCTCTATTGGAGCGCTTGTTTAGAATTATTGGTTCACCATCATCAGTTCTGTTCTTTTAATTTGGATAGCTTCCACCAAAGAAGTTGATTTTGCCAACATCATATTTAGGGAGACACTGATATGGTTTACAATTTCTTGACTATGTTTATAAAAGTTAAGACTGTTTCATTTGGATCAGTCAAGTTGTATAACAATAATTGTGTCATTATTTTTTATTGTCACCCCCACTATCATAGTAATTTTTTTATCAACAATGTCTATTTTAGCAACAATGTGAACATGTTTACTATAAAACATGATTATTTGTAAACATCTTTTAATGTTAGACATAGACACCTATATAAATATACATAGTAAATAAACTGGCATTTAAAAAGAAAAAATAAGCAATTAAATTGAGTTTTTTGCCACTTCTTCTCCATTGGATCTATATAAGTATATATATTATACTGAATTGGACAGTAAAAAAAAATAATATAAAAAATTGATGTATAATAAGTGGCTAAAATGTCCAACATGAATAAATGAATTTTTGAATTGAAGCCATAATAATTCCGTTTCAATAAATAGGAAATAATGGACAGTTGTTACAATTAAACATATAATAACTTCTTGAGGATGTTTATATTGCTGACTCCATATAAATGGGATAAGGAAGAAGCAGATGATGATTTATTGTATAGCATAAACAAGATACCCACTGGATCTGTATTTTATTTATTTATTTATTCTTTTGCACACAAAATTGTATGCATGGCGGACTTAATGCCTGATGGCATTCTCTACGAGTCAACCGACGCGTTGATCAAAGATAGTATGGCGATGAAATTTTACAAGTATTAAATAGATTAATACAAAAAAGAAAATATATATATATATATATATGTAGGTGTATATATATAATATGAACTTAGAAATAGAAATCTATCTTTGAGATACCGAGGAGCTTGTGGATCGTATAGGACAGTTGAGTTGACAGAGAATTCTAACACTCCTGCTTCTAATCTGTATGTTAGCAATAATCTCATAAATTACTGAAAAGATTTTCATTTGTCAAAAAAATTATTTGTGATCAATTTTTACCTGTATAATATAGTGTTCTACCTCCTTTGCTTTTATTGGTTTGAAATAACAGAAATACATTTGTTGTTACAGTACAAAATATGGCAGACCCTAGAGAAGGACCCTCTCTTTGCCCACAACACTGTGTCCCCATCGGTAGAGGAGCAGAAACGCATCACGCAGCTTCAATTGAAGAGAATCAATGAATACAAATTCCTTACCAATGAGATGTTCAAATCCAGTTATAGTAAAAGAGTATGTATTAACATAATCTTAAATATTATATTAAAGTGTTATGGAACAAGTTATAATAATAATATAAGCCTTTATCACTAATTATGGGTCTGACAAACAAGCCCAAAGTCACTCAGAGAGCAATAGAGAGGGAGCTATGCTTAGAGTTTCTCTACGTGATCATATCAGAAATGAGAAAATCCACAGAAGAACCAGAGTGAGCGACACTAAGAATTGCGATACTGAAGTGACAATGCGCAGGGTACATAGTTTGTAGTGCAAATGCCTGTGTGCGAATGCTGCTAAGCGTGGGTTGCGAGCAGCGCAGGACCGATCGTCCTGGAAATTTTTGGGAAAGTCCTTTGTTCAGCAGTGGACGTCTTCAGGGCTGTAATAATGATGACTAGCCTTTATTAAGGCAATACACATTTTTGTATATTATAATGAAATTATGTATAGATATATACACAAATTAGGCATCAACAAATTGTTAGTATTATTATTATTCAGTAACATGTTACTTAACTCTAAAAAACATTGTTTAGAATTCATAATTAGATAGATTCAGTAGTATATCCTGACCGCCTGCCTGTCATTTTACAATTCCATAATTAAACTACTGAAATAATTTTACAAATATAGGTATATGAATAAATGAATTGGAATTTAATTAAGAATCATTGCTAAGAATGTATGGTGTTGACAAATTACGAGACTATTTTTCCTCCTTGAATATTTTCCTGTGCAATCGTAAGTTTATTTACTAAGGAATTTATATTAATTAAAGATTAACTGGCTCGTTGGTCTAACACACTGCTTTACTTTCCGTATGTCGCGGTTCCATTCCGCTACAGTACAAACATTTGTATTTATGGGTATGATTATACACTTACAGTCATGATTATATATCATACATACAAAAGTAACAGTAAGTTCTGGATTATTCTACAGAGAAAAGACAAAAAAAAAAATAAAAATGCACAAAAAATATATATATATATTATTATTTATATAATAAATATAAACATATATATACATTTACATACATACATATACAAATAAGGAATATATAATATGATATACAAATACATACTCATACACAATACCTAAACACTATATGAATACATACCAAACAATCTGACAGCGAAAAATATTAGATTTATCTCCTTGGCGGTATATATCATAATACAAGTTCTGGATTATTCTAGATTATTATGTATATATATTTTATTTATATAATAAATTAGCTTTTGTCCGCGGCTTCGCTCGCGTTAATTTATCCCCTTAGGGGCGGTATTTATCAAAATCCTTTCTTAGGGGATGCCTACGTCATAGTAGATTTATGCATGCAAAGTCTCAGCCCGATCCGTCCAGTGGTTTGGGCTGTGCGTTGATACATCACTATGTCAGTCACCTTTGAGTTATATATATATATATATATATATATATATATATATAGATATAGGTATATAATTAGGTATTTATATCAGTTGTCTAATACTCATAACAGAAGCTATGCTAGGTGGCGCTGTGATTTTTTTATGGTTAATAATGAAATTTGGCTCCTGCCTTTTCTAACGGTTTACACTGGCGGGGCACCAGAGGATGATAGATGAGCATGAGGTACGGTCAGTTAGCCCATCGTGGCAAATTCACTATGTATTTAGCACGATGGTTTCCATGGATTGATGGAACCGCGTGGAGGTCAACCTGACATGGTACATAGGTAGCAATGGGACCATAGTCCACATTACACAGTCGCCATCGACAGGGAATTCATCCCCACACTCTGGAACCTAAGTGGTCCCGAACAGTGCGGTTTCAGAGGAGTTTCCTTCCGCGTACACTTAGTTTGTGGAATGAACTTCCAGCCGAGGTTTTCCCACGAGACTACAGCATGGGGTTTTTCAAGAAGGGTATATTAAGGTTTCTTAATGGCCGGCAACGCGCACGTGATGCCCCTGGTGTTTCAGGCGTTCATAGGATACGGTAACCATTTACCAACCGATGGGCCGTATGTTGACTGCCACCATCATAGTATAAAAAAAATATTAATTATATGTATAGACTCCGTTCTGGACATTATCCATCGGTGAAGTTTGCATACCTGATGAAAAAAAGCAATTCACAAAATGTGGTACAATAGAGGATGTATATCATTTGTTGATGGAGTGTGTCAGGAACGAGAGTCTACGACATGGAATAACGTCAGACCATGAAATAAATATATTAGATGTTGGTGCCATACAAACTGTTTTAGCCGATCCTTCGGGCGATGTGGCTAGGTAAGGCAATTTATTCACTGATAAGGCAATTTATTCACTGGTGAGGTAATGGAGTGATTGGTTTTAGGGTACAATGGGACTGACATGTACTTAGATGGTACAAAAGTCCCTAAATTTAAAAAGAAATTAAAATAAAAATTACCTCTCACGTGAATTGGTTATTATAATTTTTGTTCTGGATTAAATTAACTACTACTAAACAGAAGTAAAAGCAATCATCAAATGTTTACGGCTGACCTACATAGTGTAGTTGTTTAGTACACTTCTTCACAATTGGACCGTCGCGACAAATATTTGTACCAATGATCACTTCTGTTTGCATTGTAATGTGTGTGAATTAGTCTCTGCCTATTTTTTTTACTAGCCGTTTCCTGAGACGGCGACCGCGTGGTTTTTTTTTTATTAAAAAAAATATAAAGTAGTGTAAGTTCCTATATTATGTCTTATATGTAGGTGGCAGTGCTACAGGTCCAAGCACCTGCAATAGCCCAGACCCCCAATAAAAAAGCTATACTAGCTATCTGCAAGTAAAAGTCTTGTCAAAATCGGTCCAGCCGTTTCCGACATTAGCAAGTACAAACAGACAGACATTTTTAAAATTAATTTAACATGAAATGAAAAAATTACTACGGAACTTTAATTTTATTTATTTGTATAGATCACTCCTCTGGAATTACTCTATTTATTGCTGAAAACTGTATTAAAATCCGTTGCGTAATTTAAAAGATATAAGCGAACAGACATCGGCGGTGACTTTGTTTTATATATACTATTATACTAGCTGTGCTCGCGGTTTGATCTGCATGAAATTTATAGCCGGTATGTTATTCTGATGTACTAGTATAAGCTATATGAACCTTTTCAGTAGAAAAGGTTCATCGAAATCTGTTCAGTACTTTTTGCGTGAAAGAGTAACAAACATCCATCTATACCCACAATTATGGGGTGTATAATATTATTAGGATTGAACACACTCCATAACATTATAGAGTTAATACAGAATTTTCTTAATTTTGAAGTGTATTGAAACTAAAGTTTGTCCACAGACCCGAGCTCTCATGACGATAAACGAAGCAGTCCAATCTCTCAACCCCAGTCTCTCCGTCAAGATGGCGATTGGCATCTACCTGTTTTCCAATGCTTTGCTATCACTGGGCACTGAACGTCATCTGAAATTTTATGAAGCCACCATTCTTAACAGAGAGGTAAGTTAGCGTCTTACTTTTGAAATGTCTTCAAGTAAAATATATTATTTGTTTATGGATGATAATGGAATAATGCACCCGCCTGCGGTAATGGTTTACGCTAGAGGGCACCAGTGGACGATGACAAAATAAGCATAAAGTCAGGTCAGTTAGCATATCTTGGCAAATGGCAATTTACCACGATGGTTTCCAGGAGAAACCACATGGAGGTCAACCTGACATGTCACACGATGGTTTCCAGGATGGTCAAACTGACATGGCACATTGCTAGCAATTTACTACGATGGTTTCCAGGCGAAACCACATGGAGATCAACCTGACAATGCACATTGCTAGAACTTACCACGATGGTTTAAAAAACCACATGGAGATCAACCTGACATGGCATTATTATTTAGCAATTTACCACTACTAATATTACTAACAATCCCGTTCCCACAGTATAAAATATTAGTCTACCTTTAAAAGTCGACTGGTAGGAAAATATTGTTTTTTTGTAGTATATGTAACTATTTATCGGCATTTGTAATAATTTTGAATATTATTGATATTAATATAAATATAAAAAACTTGACGTTTATAAGCAGCTAAAATGTCCTACATGAATAAATTATTTTTTATTTAATTTAATTTAAAATAGAAATAATATTTATATTTTATAAACTTAATATAAACACTTTAGATTAGGTATTCATATTTTTTTTATTCTACCACTCATTTGGCAGACTGTTCAGAAAAAGAACGAGCTAGAAACAGATGTGCTCCTCTTTTAACTATTATTATTATCCTAGAGTTATTATTATTATTTAGGTACACCAATTTATTTAAATCGGAGATAACATAAAATTTACTTTAATGAAGTATTATTAATAGTGTATTTTGTATAGATATTAGCAAACGGAACTCAGACTCATCACAAGAAGAAACATGCGTGTTTCTCTTTTAAAGTTTGAATTTTCCTAGGGTTATTATTATTATTTACATCATTTTTTTTAATTGGAGTTAACAGAAATTATACTTAATGAAGTATTATTAATAGTGTATTTTGTACAGATTTTGGCAAGTTTCGCACTAACGGAAGTCGCGCACGGGTCGGACGCGCGTCTGATGCGGACCACGGCGACGTACGACCCCGCCCGCCGGCAGTTCGTCATCCACACACCGGACTTCGAGGCCGCCAAATGCTGGGTTGGTAATCTAGGTAAAAGTTTGTGTGGATATCACTTTGTTATTATTTTATAGATTATCTATTATACTGGTCAACACAAGTTTTGTTTCCTTAATTTTTTTTTCTGAGTTTGAGTTTTTTATGGCTCTGAGTATGAAGAAAATACTGGGAGATTGCTAATAGCTTCAATTATTGATATATACAGTAGGGTACAAGCACATAGGATGTGTAGTGGCATGGAATGAAAAACAATAGAATGCTGATATACAGTCGGTCGTCGTCAGTTGACCTGAAATTTAATATATCTTTGATGGCAAACTACGTTTATTTTTCACCTTCATTTTACGTAAATGGTCCTATTAGTTATCTCTTATATATTATTACATCATACCTCTTAATAATATTTCAAGGCGTGTTATGTGTTTAAAATTAAAAATTCGTAGTTTTATTTGATACAATCAAGCTCAACTTTTATAACCCCCGTCCAATTCAACTTTTATACCCTCTTTGATCGATTCTCCGTTCTATTCAGAAGGGGAATCGATAATCCGATATTACGACGACCTAATCCGAGGTTTAATCCTTTAGCTTTGCCTTCATACTAAAGTCGTATCTGTCAGGCAGGAGTTGGCTTTCAGTTGCTCCATAACTCCTTCACCGGGGTTGGTGCCATCTTCACTCGCCCCCTATCGTTCAGTGAAGCTGTAAAGGCTATTTGCGACCAACAGCATTGGAATAGAACGAAAAAAATAAGTTTTATGTTTTCAATAAAGATACGAACATTTTCTTACAATAGCATTACGCAATCCAAAGCGATTGTAAATTTTATAGGGCTGCTTGAATAATGATGTATTGTAATGGTTTTTATACGATTACCACAGTATATGTGATTTAAAAAGTAATTGATAAGTTTATGACCAACTGGGAGTAATTTTTAAGATTAAAAACACGATATGGAAATGAATTAAGTATTTATTAAATTTACCCCAATGAAACAAAGTTTGCACAAAGTCTCGCACGATGCAAACGTTTGTATTTATGGTTATGATTCTTTGTCTTGGTCTGGGTGTAACCTATGTATATTATGTATGTATTTACAAAAAATATATGTATTAGAAAATAGATACCCATATGTGTTATGGGTATTGCTCTGCTTTGTTATGGATTACAAAATATATTGTCATTTCCATTTCGTTATATCCGGTTTCTACTGTATCCACAGTTTATCTCCATTTAGAAATTGCTGTAAAGTGATGAATGGATATTTTAAATAGGTTTCGAAGATTGATTAACATACAAACACATAGAAACTCACGCAATATTATTATTAGTTGCCATGCACTATAACCCATATACCTACATTTTTTTAAGAAGGACATCCATTTACTCTTATATTAATCTGGCCTCACATTATTAGGTTCAGACGGCCGATTGTTCACCATCCTGCTCTGATTGGCGCATTGCTAAAGAATGCGGATCATAGGACCAAATGGGCCAATCGAAATGTGCGGCCAGATTTTTCCGGATTAATCATATAGTACCTACTGGCCAGGCGGCTGACCTCGCGAATAAAAACCATATACTACATTATGTTAAAACTAGTTTTTTTTTAACTTAAAACCTTTGAAACTGGTCCGTAATTATGTAAATCAATATTGTATGAATTGCGTTCATTATTTGCACGTGTCGTAATATGATACCACTGGATATTATCAGCTTTTGCTTGCTTTCACTCTTATCGGTTTTATTAGTGTTGTCGCGGTCGCTGTCTGTAGTATTACTATTCTTGACTAGTAACCCAATCCGGCTTCGTTCGCTGCTCATAAATTTGCAAATTTTGTATATATTATCATAATATATACCTTATGTCATTACAGAATAGGTTACAATATCGATGTCGGCAGCTGAAAAACTAGAATGAATCTATCTAAGAGACGGCCTCGGTGGTCTAGCGGTTTAGCAATCGGCTTTACTTTCCTATGGTCGCGGGTACGATCCTACAATACAAACATTAGTACTCATAAGTCTGTATTGATTTGGGTGTTTTAAATGTATATTATGTATGTATTTACCAAAAAATATGTCTAAATATTTATATTAGTTGTGTAGTACCCATAACACTGCTTAGCTTGGGACCAGATGGCGCTGTTTGATTTGTCCTGAGATATTATATTATTATGAAAAAAATAGAGTTGTATTATTTTCCATGAAACATAACAATGTCATATTTTCAGGTAGAACATGCACCCATACACTGCTGTTCGCGCAATTGATTACACCGGACGGTAAGAATCACGGACTGCATGGCTTCGTGGTGCCCATCCGGGACCCTGACACGCTGGAGACCTATCCTGGACTCATAGTCGGAGACATGGGGGAGAAGATCGGCGTCAACGGAATTGATAATGGGTAAGTATCTATATGAAACCTCCAAATACTGCCATTGGGGGATGGGATTGTTAATAATGTGGGCTAACAACCCCTTTGCTAGCAATGTACCATGTCAGGTTGACCTCCACGCGGATTCCCCTGGAAACCATCGGGGTAAATTGCCACTTGTCAAGATGGGCTAACTGGCCTGACTTCAAGTTCATTTTGTCATAGTCCACTGGTGACCGTCAGCATAAACCATTAGCGCATGTGGGTGCATCATTCTATTATCATAAAAAAAACCGTCATTGCGGGGAGGATTGTTAGAAATGTGGATTAATACCTATATTGTTTCAATGTACCGTATCAGGTCGACTTCCACGTGGTTTAGCCTGGAAACCATATTGATAAATTCCAAGTGAACTTACCGCTATGGGCTGACTGACTTGATCTCGTCCTCTACTGGTGTCACGCCAGCGTAAACCGTTAGCAGAGCAGCAGGCGGTGCACCATACCATTATTATCCTTAAAAGAATCACCGCCAAGAGATTGGATTTTTATTTTAGCGTAGGGGCAAATGAGCTGCACACCTGATAACTGTAATTGATTAGCACCCGCAACACCTGAGGAATGGCAGGTGAGTTAGATAGATAGATGAAAGATTTATTTATATCTTCAACACACACATAAGAGCAATACAAAAAATGTGTAACAATAAAAAAACAAAGTTACAAAATTTTACTGAATCATATGGCGCACACATGATTTCAATTTAGTAACTTTTTTTTGCAGCAACATAAAATAGTCAATATGTTATCTTGTGGGCCTACTAGTCTGTACCCACTAGTCAGATTTTCTTTAAAAAAAGTTTGTTTTAGAATGACAATTAAATTGAATTCATTAATGCTTGTTTACCGCCGTAGTAACCGACGACCTCGGTGGTATAGCGGTCTAGCACACCGCTTTACGTCCAATGGTTGCGGGTTCGATACCTCGCAAGGCACAAACATTTGTATCCATGAGTATGATTGTTTGTATCAGTCTGGATGTTTTTATGTATAATATGAATTTACGAAAAAAAAAATCTATGTATTTGTATCAGTTATTTAGTACCCATAACACAAGCTTTAGCTAGCTTAACTTGTGTCTTGATGGCGCTGCGTGAATTGTCCTGAGATTATTATTATTATAAAAAAAAAAAGAAAAGTAACCTATATTTAGCTCTATTAAAAAATGAGCAAGGTATTGGTACTGTAATGAATTTTCAGAATAACGAAATGAATATCTTATATTTACTGTAATAACTATATTATTACAGTAAATATAAGATTCTTTTTGATAAGCTGAGTAGAGCAGAATGTAAATATTTACCGAAAAATGTTGATTGAAATATTGCTATCGCGCTTGTGTGACGGAACACGCAAGGCCTCTGATAGAGAGACATAGAACGAAGTATACCAACATCGTAATTTTATAAGTCTTTTATTTTACCTATTTTTTTTCGGTCTATACCAAAATAGTAGCATTTTAGAATATTATTAGGACACGTACAGACTAAAACCTATTGTTCACCTAACGATTATTTAAATCTAAAACGTGCTTGGCGTTAGTTATTTATATTTAATACTAGTATAGTAAGGTTGCTGCAATATATGAATGAAAAAATATTTAAAAATGATTAAGCTGCTGGTACTGTATTAGCTTGCAGTAATATATAAGTAAAAAAAAATTTAAACTGTTTCTGAGATTAATCCTAAATACATATATGTAGATTAGTATACCTATAATATCCATATACCGACCATATAAAAAAATCATTTTGTCTCTGTTTGTGCATAAGAAAAATTATTATTTTTATATGTATACTATTAATAATAATAATAGTCCTGGGACAAATCAAACAACGTCCGCTAGTCCCAAGGTAAGCGGAGCTTTTGATATGGTGAGTACTAGACGACTGATATAAATACTTAGATCCTTTTTTAGAAATACGTACATAATATATGTAATGTAATGCCCAGAACGAAACAATCGTACTCTTGAATACAAATGTTTATACCGTGCGAGGACTCGAACCCGCGACCATGGTAAGTAAACCGCTAAACTACTGAGGCCATAAAATGTATGAATCAGAACATTAATCCTAAATACATATATATAATGCAGCAAATTTTTATCTGATAAACGTGAATATGTCTAGGAAATGTTGTATGAAGTGCTTTGATGGTCGTTGTTCGTCGTTGCGGAATGTTTGTATAATAACATGAGTGCTATTTTATCTTATAAATTGTATGAGAACATTCATACTGCAGATAATATTGTTACATCAACGGATATGTTGGTTGCGAAATAAATTGACATAGAAACTAGGATTCGACTTTGACATAAGGACTTATCTTTTATTTGAAACAGAATGTACATAAGGACAGCACTGAATTTTTTACCTTAAGTTGAACTTGAGATGATTCTTTTTTCACTGCATGTGGTGGTATATTTAAAACTTCTTTGTATACAGTACAGTAGTTATTATATTTTTAATGATATGACATAAATGAATTTAGGATTGAATATATTCTTAATGTCGAAACTTAAAAATATATATAGCAAAATTAGTCCTAAAAGTAAAAAAAGTATTTGGGTGGATCAACCTTATCACTTCCTAAACCTAATTATAAATTAATAAATTGCAGTGAAACTGTAAATGATAAATTCCACCCTTAAGGGGATAAATTAACGCGAGCGAAACCGCGGGCAATCGCTAGTATATATATGACATAACAACTTACCGTATTTACCGGGTCATCTAGTAGTGTTATTTTACTAATATTATAAACGCAAAATTTTGTTCATCTGGATCGATGAATGGATGTTTTCTACTCTTTCAAAAACTACTGAATGGATTTTAAAGAGGTAATGATGTGAAATGATTTTTATACAGATATATACAGTACACCATAAAACTACAATAATATAGCTCATATATCGGAATCACACATAGGCTATAAATTTTACAGCTAGTACATGATAACGTTTTCCAAACGTGGAATAACCGTCACACTGTATAGGTTGACCTAGTCCTCTATGATAATGTAGAACCGCAAGGCAGAACGACAAAGCGTTGAAGTAGAACGCGCTAACTAACAAAAAATCCAATGACATTGATTACGGAGCTTGACAAATGACATAGAAAATAAAATAGAATAGGATTTTTTGACTCGTCTTAACACAACAATAATTAAAAAAAAAAATCAAACAACAATTTACACACATTCCAAAAGAGAGCCAATGTGGACTACAACCAACAATCCAACATAATGCTGGAAACTGGATTTCATATCTTTAGATGTATAATCATCGATTGCTAGCAATAAAACATTCTATGGTCTCGGTGGTCTAGCGGTTTAGTACGCCTCTTTATTCCGATGATCGCGGGTTCGATACCTCGCACGGTACATGAGTGCGATTTTTTTTATGATAATGGAATGGTGCACCCGGTTACGCTGCGCTAACGGTTTACGTTGGCGGGGCACCAGTGGAGGATGATAAGATGAGTATGAGGTCAGGTCAGTTAGTCCATCGTGACAAATTCACGAAGAATTTAGCACGACGGTTCCCAGGGGGAACCGCGTGGAGATCAACCTGACATGGTACATTGCTAGCAATAAGGAAATCAATCCACATTACTAACAATCTCCTTTCCGCCCTATGAGTGCGATTGTTTGTATCGTTCTGGTTGTATTCTATATTATGTTTATGTTTACAAAATTAATATCTGCTGTATTATGTTAATATCTGCTGAATTCGCAACGAAACTGACTGACCATTTGACCTTGGTGGCGGAAAAAACCTTATCGCACATGACTTTGTACAAAGTTTTATTCTGCTCTGCTGTTTGTTACGCTTAAACCAAGTAAAAGTGGGTGGGGGTCATTGTGTATAAGTAAGTTTATGAGTGTTATGTAGGACTTTATTATTATTATTTACATTCTTGTCGCATTTACTCAGCTTTTGCTGGTTTTTACCACACTTATTATTATTAATTGTTGCCAGGTTCATAATGTTCAATCAATACCGGATACCGCGGGATAATCTCCTGAACAGAACAGCAGACGTCACAGAAGATGGAGTCTACGAAAGCTCCTTCTCGGAACCGTCCAGGATATTGGGCGCTGCGCTGGAGAATCTATCAGCTGGTATTTTTTTTTTACTTTTCTATACTTCCTACTAAATTGGCCTCCCTAATGGAAGGACCGAAATGTGGCCTATATACATGTATATACAGCAACACGGACGGGCGGTTTGTTAATAGTATGTACATGTGTGATATGAGTATAGATCTAATAACGATCGGAATTAGACGTCGGACTTGGGAAGATCATTACCTCTTCCAGTAAACGGTGGTTAGGTTTCCGCACTGAATATATGTGGTCTAGCATATACTAGTGTTAATAGCTCGTCGTATTTGTAAGTTGAAGTGACAGTGAGCTAATCGTATCTGTCGCAGAACCGATGGCGTGGTCTAGAGAGGAAACCGCGAATTGACAAACGTAGTGTTGCATAGATTCTTTTTGTTTTGTACCTTTTTTATTTTTTCTTCCTTTTTGTTTATAAGTTAAATTTTTTTTTGTTTTGATAAAAATAAATATTTTGTAAATATATATATTTACAAAATTTTTAAAAAATAAACTATGTGTCTATATTCGCAACACAGTTTTATACTTCTGTGAATATCATCGTTTCTTCAGTAAATTAGTACACATATTTTCTGTATTAAGTAAATCAATAAAATAAAAATAAAAAAAAAAGTGTAGGACGCCCGCTGCCAGGTGGAGCGACCACATACGTAGGGTTGGGGGTAATAACTGGAAGAAAAGGGCTGAAGATCGTGGTTTGGGAGAGGCGTATGTCCAGTAGTAGACTACAGTGGGCTGATGATGATGATGATATACTAATAGTAGTGAAATTAAACAAAATAGTTATAAATCCATTAAGTAATTATATATTTAAAAATGCAGTATACATATATGTATACTTTCTACTTATTTAAGTCATAGAGGTTAAAAAAATGTTTCATAAATTTTATGTCATTGTTCGTGACTGGTATTAAAAACGCTTATAAGAATGCTGTTTTGAGTTTCGTAAATTTACATTAAATGCTTATTTTATCAAATTGCTTCATAAAGTATCAAGTTATAACCTATTGTCATTCTGAATACCGCGCGCACGAGGTCGCGGTCACAGTACTAATATTAAACAATACTAATATTATAAAGACGTTATAGGTTTTAGGTTTTGTTGTTCGCGGTAATCTCCAGAACTATTAATCTGATTTTGAGAATCATTTTAGTGTTGAATAGCCGATTTATAGAGAAAGATTCTAACTAATCCTGTATGACGTCATGCTACAACAAAAGAAAACGGAGCTGTAATGAAAATATTGCAAAAAAAAAGTTAATAATATTGTCTGTTATCAGGTCGAATAGGCATAATGCAAGAGAGTTGCCACACAATATCCAGCGCTGTTGCTATTGCAATAAGGTACGCGGCGACACGCAAGCAGTTCGGCGAGCGAGACAACGAGATACCACTGATCGAGTACGAGCTCCATGTTAGTTGCTTATTATGTAATGTTAGAACCCCAATAGAACCCCTCTTTTATCCCTTTATTTGAGGTCGGAGCAGTATATCATCTTTCATTGATCCCTATCGGCCCTTATATCTGAGCTTACCTATACTTACATATCATCTTTCACACAATCCATCCATCTCTTTTTAATCGTCCTCTCCCATTCTATCCATAGATGTTCAGATTATATACTTTCTTTAAGGTTCCGCATAATATGCTCATACCAAATCACCCAAAAGTAGAACCCCATCATATGAATTCGTAAAAATATTCTGAAACTAGATTTTACGGTCAGACAAAAACATATTTTCTGCTCACCTTAACACAGAAAATTTGTTGAAATACCGTCAGTTAAATCAACACTAGTAAATGTTTTGATAGCCTTCATTCGCCAGAATCTTCATAAATTATAGCCAATAAAAACAGCCGAATAAATTTCAGCCCGAGCCGAAGGCGAGTGTGTTCAACTGTAATACAGCCGACTGTAATATCGCACGACGTTTTTCAACACGTTTGCTAGGAAATAGAATAAAAATTATCATATTTTATTTATTTTTAATTTACGAAACAGTTTTTTATTAAATAAACTAAACTATAAAACTGATATGCACACTATTGCTTTCCCGCCGTTTTACTTTTTTAAATCAGCGCGCTGCCTACTGGCTGGCGCCGCGAGGCAGTTAGTTCGAAATTTGATAAAAGAAATCGCAAATAGTGCAGTTATGGATTATAACTTCACTGTTTACATTTATAACGCAGCCGTGTTTTATGAGCTGCTTCATATATCGAAAACAGATGGCATTAGATCGAATTTACACACAAGGCACTGTAATATTAACAACAAAAATAAAAACAGATATACAAATACATTGGTCAGGCACAAAATACAATACACTACAAATATACAGATAAAACAGAATTTACGACCAAGTGTGTTGAAAATATATTTTTTTATGAAGAGATTTCCATGCCCAATAGTGGGACAATAGTGAAATATTACAACTTTGTTGCAGCAATGGCGACTCTTTGGGTACGTCGCCACAGCTGTCGTGTTCCGTATATACATAGAGAGCTTCACAAGGATCTACCTGAATATCGTCGAGAAGTCCAATGCCGGCCTTAAAGTTGATGACTTGGTAAGTTCTGGATATATTGCATACAGCGCCATCTAGTTACAAAGTTCAGACTACACATAATCACCTCGGGTGAATACGCACCAAATGCTGTTCCAAACTAAAATGTATGACTAGTTGCTTAGGTATCAATATCTGTTGCATGTCTATAGTTTCTCGCTCACATTATTCTATATCTTCGTTGTTGATCTTCGGTGTTCCATTCTATCAATTATTTATCTCTGGTCTGTTTTTTATTGCGAATATTTGAAACGGGGGACCTATTTTAACGACTTTCGCTATCTATTTTAACGACTTTCGCTATCGTTTATTTTAATAAAAAAATAGCCGCGCAGTAGTCACTGGCAACGGCGAGTTCAACAATCGGATAGACAACCCATGTTTAACACAATATGCTATAGAGTATACTACAATAAGTCACTATTATTTACACTACGTATATTAATCTTATTACGTGACCAAAAAAGCGACCAAATATTTTGTTTCGAACTCTTCTAATGCTAATGGCTGCAACTGGCCTTTATAGCAGGGTTAACACATTAAAATTACTATAATTTTAGTATATGAGAGAGTCAAACTTTAGCGCGTTACAATTTTGCTATTAACGCCATCTAGTAACAGACATGGGAAACAATTCCAGTAAATGAAATAATCCCCTCAAATTGTAAAAGATGTACGTGTAGTGTAGTACAACGTCGACTGACCGACGGCCCGTTCTGGTGACAGAGTGAGGCGGTTTCAGAGATCCACGCGATGGTGTCCAGCTCGAAGCCGCTGCTCACGTGGACCGTGCTGGAGGCGGCGCAGCAGTGCAGGGAGGCCTGCGGGGGCCACGGCTATCTGAAGGTTAGTCTGTACCATTTATTACTGCAACTTCTAGTCCCTTTGCTACTTATTTTCTACTAGAGACCCATCCCGGCATCGCACCGATGCTTTACAAATCTTTGAATTTCTCGACTTGTTCTATACTATAACACATGTATTATACATATAAACCTTCCTCTTGAATTACTCTATCTATTGCTAAGGTCCGCTGCGTAATGTCCAATATATAAAGTATTGTATTTTTAATAGTTATATACTTATTTTTTTATAAACATACATACATAATATATTTACATAGGAAACATCCAGACCAATTCAATCAATCATACTTGACTTGAATACAAATGTCTGTACCATGCGAGGAATCGAACCCACTACTATCAGCAGCAGAGCGGTGTCCTAAACCGGTAGACCATCGAGGCCTTGAAATCTTTACAATACTTTAGACAATATAAAATTTATACTATGCAAACATTTCGACAGTCTCGGTTATTGTTGTGTACTATAAAACAGTTGACGCCGCTGCCTGTTCGCTTATTACTTCTTATTGAGTACGGTTATCTTCTACTGTTACAATTAAAATATATTGTTTTACAATATACCTAATTTTATAACTGTACTGTATAAACTACCTTGTCTATGCCAGTTATTATCTATGCTTCAAACTGCTTATTTCCCCTCATCAGTGCGCGAACCTGGGAGATCTTCGCAGCCACCACGAAGCAACAGTGACTTACGAGGGCGACAACAGTGTTCTGTCGCAGCAGGCCGGCAACTGGCTACTCCGGCAGCACGCAGCCGCTCAGCAGGGTAACACCGTCGATTCCCCGTTAGGAACCGTCAGCTTCCTTACGGACAGTCGCAACCTGCTGAGTGAAACCTTCCGCTGCACCACCACTGATCAGCTCAAGACCCCACAATGTAAGAATAGAAATATAATCTTTATTCAAATAAACTCAATTCAAGCTCTTTTGAATAGTCATGTTTTACCACTCATTTGGAACCACAGTTTAACACTCAGAATTATTTCCGATGGTGGCTAGTTCGATTCCTCACACGGTGCAAATATTTGTATTCATGAGTATGATTGTTTGTATTGGTCTGAGTGTTTTCTATGTATATTATAAAAAAATTATTTATAAAAAAAATGTATTTAAGTGTTTGTATTAGTTGTGTAATACCATAACACAGGCTTAGCTTTGGTTGTGTCTAAATAGCTAGCTAGATAATGTGTGAATTGTCCTGTATTGTTATTAAAATATAGTTTTTAACTTGTTTAATGAAATTCAATATATTCTTTCAGTCATAACGTCAACATACAAATGGTTGCTATGCTGGCTTCTAAAGCAAACGCAAGAGAAATATGAATCGGAAATAGCAAAAGGCCTATCTAAATTCCAAGCGAAAACCAAATCACAAGTGTACCGTTGGAAGATTCTAACCAGGGTGTACGCAGAGTACTTAGTAATTATATTCAGTTTGGAATCTATAGAGAAAAAAGAGCGGGAACTGCAGCCGGTACTGTACAAACTATTCACTCTATATGGTCTATGGTCGCTGGATAAGCATTTGGTGGAATTGTACCAGGGTGGGTTTGGATCTGGTGAAGCGTTGGCGCGGCTCCTGCGTGGTGCTGTACTGGAACTGTGCAGAGACTTGAAGAGTGAAGTTGTGAGGGTGGTAGATGCTCTGGCGCCGACAGACTTCGTGTTGAACTCCGTTTTAGGCAAGAGCGATGGCAATGTAAGTTTATTTTTTTTTAGTTTACTGTAACAATATGTTTTATTACAACCAAAATTTGATGTCTTAAATTATTATTCTGACTGAAGCAGTTATAAGGGGACCAGTGTTATACAACCCATATATATGACCCCTTTATTAACAATCTCCATCCCTCACCCCCAAACCGAAGGGTAGAGAGGTAATATTGCACTTCGCTTCCAGTGGTCGTGGATTCAGTTCGTATAATAGGTCCAGTTCTATCATGTTACTAATTTGAGCATTTATTTTTGTTGTGTGTGTTTCATATTTTATCATGTAATATTATATAATATATCTAAAACGTTTTAAAGTACTGTAAAAGGACAAAATTGTGTTTATAGTGGTTTACCTGTATAGTTTCTCATCCATACACTGTTCCAAAGCTTGGGAGTATTGTATCACGATAATTTTGCATTTTAAGTAAATGTTATTAATACTACTGGATATTCTCTTTTATTAATAATAAATAGTGTTGATATAAACCCAAATCGAATATATATATGAAGGGACTTTAGGTTGCCGAGAGTTTGTTTGTATAGTCATGAAACTGAACCTTTTTTAATTTTCATGAAGAAACAAAGTGATAATCTGGAAATAAATCTTGGACTTTACATTATTTATATTGATTTTAATTTTACATTAATTTATCGAAAGACCTGCGACCATTCAAAGTAAAGAGTTGTGCTAATCAGTTAGACAACCGAGGTAATCGAATGAATGAGGATTTTATAACATTTGAAAACCTTCATAAAATCTCAGAGGAAGTAGGTGCTTCACCATCCAAACTAGATCTATTCTTATATAGTACTGGTAAATCTCCTTGTACCATGGGAAACCGATATACCTACCTAAAGATACATCTACATGTACAAAACAATTTTTACGAATATTTTTTTTAACGATAAATGGCTTTGTGGTTATTCTATATGCGGACGAATGGGATCGAGGTATATCAGCAAAAGCACTGATTCTTTCTTTATTCATCTTATAAATGATTCTTGAAGAATTTGCTACGATGATCTATTAGGCAATTTTATTCTCCATTCTTTAAATTTTCTCTGGCGCCCAGCAAGAATTTATGAATGTTCTTTCTTTTTCACCATTGTCATCTACTTTGTTTAATAAAACATCTCTTATATCCTGGGGATGAAAGAAAATGGTGACTTATTTATTCTTACATTGAGATCTTATTTTGTTGTTTCTTTCTTTTACAGCTGTACCAAAACATGCAGAAAGCATTCTTCAACAACCCCGGCGCGTTCGAGCGGGCTCCATGGTGGCGCGAGGTAGTACCACCATCCAAACTATAGTCAGACGTAATATTCTACATAATTGGAGGCCTCTAATGCAGTGCAGTGATCAAGCTGACTGCTACTCACGAATGACCCAGGTTTGATTATCGGTTCAATCAGTTTAGGATATAACTTCTAAATTGGCTGATGATTGTGTCCCATACACAGGGTATGTTAGTTCGAAGGCATCGACATAGTAATCTGAAAAGGAGATTGTAAAACTGTTTGTGAAACTGGAAATGGGTTATATTTACAATTGTAAAGTAGTTACATGACATTTCTTGCCCAGAAATGTGAAGGTCGACCTGATGTGGTATATCGTTTGCAATGGGACCCTTAGGCCCCATTACTAAAACCCCTTGATGTTTTTGATTACTATGTCAATGTTGGAGCAGAAAGAAATTGTGTATTTTGCAAATATTGTAAATCAGTGCTAACAGTGGGATGATTAAGGTCAGAATATATCGTAACTTGTTCTACATATTAAATAAATAAAAAAAAACTTCTGTAACTATTTACGCATGCCATACACAAACTAGTAATTAAGTCAACACTACATGTATATATCTGAACTTCTTGCAGGTCATAGTAATTGTAATTAAATAGAGAATTTCTTGTTGGTCGCTCAAATAACTGAATAAAAATATATGCTGTAGATTTCTGTAAAAATAATGTCAATCATGGTGGTTATCAGATATAAACTGCGAAACTACTTAAATAATTATTATAAAATTAATAAACTAAGGTCCAACTTAATAGTTATAATAGATTTTATTGACCTCAACTATTGGGCACAGTAAATGACGTAGAGACAAGTTTTTACTTAATTTTAATTAAATATTCATAATAATACCTCAGGATAATTCACACAGCGCAATCTAATCCCACGCTAGGCAGAGCTTGTGTTATAGATACTATACACTGATATAAATACATATGTAGCTGCACATTCTAGTATCACACAGGAGTGATCACAACAAATAAGAAGGATACGTGCACTTACTTGGATGGAGTCTTGTGCGACATGGATTTATCCTGGTTATTCGGTAATTTTACGATTTGCGATATGACAGACCGCGCGTACGTCAAGCCAAGTGCATACGTGGGTTCACCGCGCAAACCAACTTATGATTGTGACCGCTTCAAACATTACGCGCGGTAATCGAATTAAAAATGCACAATTTATAATTGGGACGGTACAACATAAATACGTTATTTTTGTAAATACATATATAATATACAAAGAAAATACCGAGAGTAATACAAATAATCATACAAATGTTTGTATCGTGCGATAAGTCAAACCTGCAACGATCGGAAGTGAGGCGGTGTGCTAGACTAACAAGACCAATCAATAAAATATTATTATTTTTTAGAAATATGTAGAAACTTGTTGACCTTAGTCACGCTCCACTTATGGGCTGTATGAGAATGTATGTATGTATGATATGATACGTTGTTACCTTAATAGAAGTATTAATTGATTATTAATTATATAATAATTATCATTTAAATACTGCCAAATATGCTGGAAACATTTAAAAGCATTTATGTTATATGTTACAAAAATTGTGACCTATTATTTCTTAGTACATGTTGATTTAGTCTATTGCGATATTTGATATTAAATGTTTATAATAATTATAAATAATTGCTTAGATAAGAAATTATTAATTTATAATTACTCGTCTAAGTCGCTGGAAATAAATAATTACTTGTCTAAGTCGATGCAAATAAATAATTGCTTATCTAAGTATATTTTTTACTTATAGTCGATTTTTAATTTGTAATAATTTTATGGGTTTATTTATGTTGTAACTCAATGGCAAACTACAATAGATAGTATTATGTAAGATGTCTACAATTCTAGACCAGTCTAATAATTTGTAAACTAACTTTTTAAAATATATTTATATCTATATTTCGTGTAATATTCCAGTGATGTTATGGATAAAACGTTGTTTATTTTTGCTAATATTTTTTCTGTCTATATTATTAGTGTTAATATATTATGCTTTCTGTTAATTTAATTAGTAACAAGTTCTGCAGAGAAATAAAATTATTATATTTTATTGCAGTCAAGTCCATCGGAACGTTAGTTGCATTCAGGGAACCTGACAACAGATCGGCTGTATATCCACAGTCTTATATTTATCTTTTCTTAAGGTGTTTGCTCGATTACTTGGTGCTTGGACCTGCAGCACTGTGATCTGCATAGATCTATTGTGTTTGCTCTTTTTTAGAGCTCGCTGTATGCCCCGTCAGGGGTGTCGGGGTAGAATGCACATGCGAAACCCCTGGCTCTGGCAAAGGCGTAGGTACACCGTGTAACACACGTCCTCCCTCCGGCGGGGTGACGGTTTTACGGTCTTTTGAAGATTTTCCCTTACAATAGTTAGAATGACAATATGTATGAAACCATCTGCTATATCTCTCTGATTGCAGTAAAATATTTTGTGTATTTATATTTTTAATAACAAAAATGTTATCAATAATTTTAAATATGTTTTACATATCGATTTCTGTCTACTAGCATTGTGTTTATAGTTTTAATCGTTGGCTCGCGATATGTTTCTACTTTTAAACCTAATTTATATTACGAAATGAATCTACACTCGTGAAACTGTTGATGAATATAATGCGCTCATATTTGTAATATATATTTTTACACATTGTTTTTAGCCATTTTCTATTCATCAATTTCTTGCAGTGTTGTTGAACTTTTTATATCTAATATAGAGTTACATTACTTTTATTTTATGCCGCTAGTTTGGTAATGTAAATTAGAGTTTTTTATCGGCAAACTCACACAAAGCTTTATACATTTATATTAATTATTAATATTAAATGAGACCGTGATATTAATGCATATTTTATTCTGATTATTGATAAATTATATATTTTTTTGTATCATGGCATTCCCATAAGTTATAGATAAGGAATGGAATAAGAATCTGTACAAAAATATAGCACAAATTTTTTTTATACAACATTTCTGAAATCGTACAATGTGTATATGTATACTTTTATGTGTAACTTACCTACTACATTAATGTTTAGTAAAATTGTTGACTAAAAATGAGAAAATTATTATGAGAAGAAATCTTTATAAAAACTACACGTAAATACATTATCGGCAAAAATTATAGAGATTCTTTTATAATTGGTTAGTAAAAGGCATGCCATAGATTTTTTTAGAGTAATCGAAACATAAATTAGGCATGTCAAATATGAGGAATTGTGTTCTTTTAATAATGAATCTTTTATTAATCTTTAATACTAATAGAATTGATCAATTTTGAATTTTATATACTTAGAAATTTGTTTTTCTAAGTGTTCGTTAAAATTTGTTAATCGGACGTGGCAATTGCATACAAGAAATCTGAGTAGCAATATTTTGCTATTCCAGTAAGTAAAAATGCGTTTTCATATAATGGATATACAATGAAAATTGCATCAATATTCTTTGAAATCTTGTCATTAAAGTTTTAAATGTGGTGTACCTATTAAATGTATTTAATAATCGTTATTTGTTCGTGAAACTAGAATTATTATAAACAAAATATTCTTTCGACGATCTGCATGTTTCTAAGAGTTCTCGTATATTTCCGATAAGTGACGGACGGCTCGTGCCAACGACGCTATTTGATTGGCGCATTGCTTGCTACGCTCCGCCCTCTTTGGAAATGCTCCAATCGAGCGGTCTCGTCGGCACGGACCGTTCCGTACGTGAACGCGAATGTGTGGCCGGGTTAAACCGCCAAAAAAGAAAATATTGCGCACGTTTTTTTAAACTTACTGTTGGTACCTCGAATATCTATATTTATTATATAATATACGCAACTTATTTATAATGTTTAACAATGTTTATTTTACATGTTGATCTTGATCAGTATTTTTTATACAAATATATATAAATTATATGACTATACCTGTATTGATGTAACTACTTAGCAAATACTAAATTTCAATTTTACTAGCTATAATTTAAGTTTGTATTGTTTATAAAATGTTTATTATCATAGTAACTTGATAAATACATAAATACTTAACCATAGACGAGGAAAAGGAGTATATGGTATATTAAGTTTATTCAAATAAAGAATTATTGCTATTTATGCAAGAAGTATTGCATTTGTTTCGTATTTTGTAAACTAACATTTTCTACGTGTCATTTTATTGTACTGTATTTCGTTGCGACTATACATAATATGTTTATGTATAAAAGAGTTCTTAGATGACGCGTTGTTCTTAAAGTCACGTTTTAAACTAGTATTATGACGAGTTTTGCTTATTTTTTAACTATTATTTTGTTATAATTATTATAAATACGAAAAATTTTTACGAAGATAATAGAGCGGCAAAGTCTGCGTTGTCATATCTGTGTCACCTATTTCATAGAAGCAGCAGTACAAGCAGCGTTTTTTTTATTCTGTGATTGTAGCTGTTACAGGTGTTATATATCTACAGATCTATACGATATTTGTTTTTATTATTATACAATATTATACACGCTGTATACTGCATATCTCAACAATATATTTTTAATACCATCCACTCTTGAACTTAAACTTAATCCATTTTTTTATTTCTAAATGAATTCAGTATTTATATTATTATGTAAACTAATATTGTAATAAGAAAAATATTAATTTCATTTTTGTAATACACTTCAAAAGTAGTTCAATTTTAAATATCATTTCAATGTTACGTTATAAGAAACCTATGTTCTGTATTGTCTTAAAAATTAGAGATCCATACATACACCCTTGCGACACGGGGATGGGTCGCTAGTTCATACATAAGCATAATGTACTTATGAGTATACCGGGAAAGTTTTGTTATTGAAGTTGCTGTTTGCTAGCATAATTTGTAATTAGAAACTCACTGTCTATCTATCTATGTATATTCAAAGGTACTAAAAGTACTAATCACGTGATCTTCTAAGTATTAAATTGTTCGGGTAACTTGTCTTTTACTACTAATTAAAACTGGCCGCATATTAAGGAAAATTCTGAAAGTAATAAAGTCTGTATAGATATATGGTGTATAGGATAAATTCCTGTATTTCTAAAATAGTGGGAATATTCTCTGAAACATTTGGCAATGTGCGGCCGGTCTTATGTAGTGTCCACATAATATATTTACATAACAAAAAGAAAACAGTCAGTTATTGTAGTGTTTCTTAACCTTTCTGCGATGAGGTACGATTTAACAAAATTTCTGTTTGCCATAAACCACTGTTTGAGGTTTGTGTACAGTAAATAAACGGTTGAACTTTCTAAAATATCGTAATCCCATTATTTGACATTTATGTTTGAAATTATTCTCCTTTTATGCAAATCATCTTTCAAATAGTCCATATATCTTTTTATATCCGTCCCAGGAGGTATAGAAATTTTCAAAGCTTAACAGCATTTCCTGCAGAGAAACACATTAAACAAACTTTTGCAGTATCAAATAGCAGCTATACCTATAATAGTATGAAAATGTATTAATATACATATATAAATAGGTATAGAGGAATATAATAATAATAAATAATATATATATTGAGGAATTAAACACAACAGAAGAGAAACTAAATAACAGCAGTCGAATCTTTCTACTACTACTACACGTCGCATTATCGCCTCGAATAGTCTTCAGCCGCTTTCGTGAACCACTGTTGAAGATCTCAGGCAGTGACTGTGTTAGACCATGGAGTATTCATCAGCAATGATTGACTGTTTGCTTATCTGAATATGTTGATGTGGACACATTATATATACATTCTAAAATTGTATTTTATCTAAATGTTGTGTAGTAACACTCCTTTAGAAGTGCCTTCCTCTGTGTATAAATATATTTAGTGTGCTGTTAATTTAGATGTAAGATGTTTAGAATGGGAGCGATCACTCCCGATGGAAATAAATGGAATGTCAAATGTAATGGTTTTTTATTATCATATGTCCCATAAATATCTGATTTCCCCCAGTATTTATATAAAATTGAATAAACTGAAATAACTAAAGACACAATGTTTTAGTGTAATATTATGTTATCTGTGGTTTTAGTATAATGGATCGATGCCTGACGGTATACGCTGGGGGGAAGGGAAACACTGTGGTCTAATGGCTCCATTGCTATCAATGTACCTCGTAGGGTTGACCTCCAAAGGGTTCCTCCTGGAAGACATCTTGATAAATTCCTGGTGAATTTACCACGATGGGTTAATTGACCTGTCCTCATGCTCATCTTATCATTTATTCTGTAAATTTGAATGATGAAATACTTCAACGATTAAAATTAATTTAAACAATTTAGTTTTTTTCTAAGGACAAAAAATGTTACCTACAGAAATTACATGGTCAGAAATACTTGGGTAAAAATAAAAATCTCATTTCATATTGAAACATTTTAATAATTGTGAACTGTCAAGACAATAGTGAAAGGGACAACATTAAGTGTGAGAGAAAGATAAATTGTGCGTGTATTTTTATATCAAACCTACAGTAATGGCGTCAGTTGACTTGTTCTACATAATTGTTATTGATTCGGAACATTAGGACTCCATGCTGCGTAACAGCTGAAACGTGTTTAGGATGCTACCGGTTCGAAAATTATCTGACACACATATTATACTATAGCGATCCGTACCGGCTTCGCACCGATCTTGAATATCTCGGTTTAACATACATATAAATGTTTTATACATATAAACCTTCCTCTTGAATAACTATCGAATGCTATGCTATGTAAAGATTATTACAATATGATAGACACCAATACAATAGACATAAAATATCCATTTTCTTTAGACCTATAGGGCGCACACATTTAAAAGTGACGAAAAAAAATGCGAAGAATTTGCTGTCGTATGCCTCTATGTGCGAATATATGTGTAAATAATAAACAGTCTGCATGGAGTCCACATTTTTTAAAATTGCAAATGCGTTGCGCATGCTTGTACAGTTTAAAAGTAGAATGTAAGTTTTATTAAAACATGTCCTAAACATCACACTTACGAAATAAAAAACAATTTAACGGTTCACCAACTGAAAAATAGTAACCATTTCGTAGACATAAATAGACCACGGATATGAAATCACACACTGACGCCAGCGTGTGTTGCTATTTCTAATGAAAAGTCAAAAGTGCATACATCCATTACTAATTTCGTACAAGTTGGCTAGTCTATACAAACGTTCATATCGTCTGATTATAACTAAATAGAGTTATTGTGAAAGAAATTTATTCAAAAAAACAATAAATATTGCCATTAATATGTTTTTAAAGTCAGGATCAGATTAGACACAAGTGCACGAATCGTCCGTTCCGGTCGCCGGTTGGCAATATAAAGTGTTTTTTGTGTTCGATTCACAGGCCGCCATCTTGTGCTCCACTACTCTCGAAAGACCGGAAGTGATATCGGAATTAATTGTATAATAAGAATGAAATTAATGGTCTGTTGTGAATACCAATTGATTGCAAAAAAATATGTTGAATTTATTTAAAATAGTACAAAAGTATATATAGTAACGGATTCTATAAATATACCATTCGTAATAGAAATTTAACCATGTCTAACATTGTACAAACACCATAATATGTCTTGAAATATGTAATATTATAGAAGCATAATATAGTATCACATGTATCAAATGTATATCAGTATAAATATAATAGATAACTACAAGTTCAATGTTACCTCTAAAAGAGTTAATAGTCACACCTGATAAGAATGTTATTCGTAATGGCTGTCCAGATTTAAGGTTATTATTTATGAATGACATTCCGAGGTTCTTGTGTAGAGTACAAATATACAAATTTAAATAAGACATCATAGAAGCCTAACACAGTAAAGATTTATTTTTAGAGATAACCTCGCCCGTACATTCTAATATTTGTAATTATTTCCTGTGTACAATAAAGAATGTAGTAAAAGGGCAATACATAGGCATAACAGAGACAGAAAATATTAAATTAATACGGTATGCCAAACCGTTTGGCCAGCGTGGTAATAGTTGCATATACCTACCCTCCTGTTAGTTTTATGCAATGCCCAAGCCCTGCAGAGGGAAATTGGGATTGCATTGAACATCGGTTAGTATGTTGGATTTTATCGGCATGTACAGAAACCGACCTTTCGAACTGAATGGTATATAAACAAAAAAAATTACGCATCAAGCGTCTGTAATTATGTCTACATGATTAGATATTATTATGATTATAAATAAGATATTAATTATCCAATTAATTAAAATTTGATAGGATCTGGCTATTGTGCATTCTTATCAGGTGATGTCAATAACATTATTTGTTCTATATTTAAAGTAGTACCTGACACAATAATGTTACTATTGAATTTAATTAATTTTCAGTCGAAATCAGTGGTCTATATATTCTGCAATATTTTGTCTATTAATTTGTATTTTTATAATTGTTTCATTTCATAATTAACTACGTAAATGTAATATTTCTCAAATTTTATCAAAATATTGAGATTTATTCATAATTGTTGTTTAGCAAAAACAGTAATGTGTAAATCAGTTTTATCAATTTGCAGAATTTGCCGCATAATCTAAAAACAACGCAGTTTTATACGTATTTCATACACGTCACAAATTCACAACATTGTCACAGGTAGAACAATAAAATTCATTCAGAATTTTACTAGTAAAAGTTAATTTCGAACTGTAATTACAAAATGTAATGTACACAGAGTTGTGACGTCACTCTTGCGTACGTATGACGTAACAAGTATCACATAGCTGTAAATTTGTGTTTTATTTTGTAAAAATAATGAAAATCTTGCTCTTACTTAAAAATGAAAGATTTATTGAAATATTTATTAATCAAATATTTGATTCAATTTATTATTAAAGTCATCAGTTCATCACATTTATTTTACATATCGTCATAGAGGGGGCTCACATTACCATGTTCTGACCCAAAATCCCATATCAAGCACGCAGTACGATTGGCGCATTTCCAAAGAGGGCGGGGCGTAGCAACCTTGCACCAATCGGACGACGTTTGAATCTAATAATGTGAGCACACTCTTACTTCATTTAAATGCATCACTCGACTTAAATATTGTAGTTTAAAAATTTTAGTAATATCATATATATGAGTATGTTAGAGACCCTATTTGTGTTATTTATTAAAATATACTTAAACCATATAATTTTAACTACTATTCGCTAACAACTACAACCTTCGATAAGTACCAACCGTTTTAAAGCAGTCTTCTGTACATCGTGTTTGCAATTCCGATTGATTTAATTAAAAACGAAGGCACCAATTTCCAAAAAATATAGCATAAAAAACTTGTAATATTATTGTCAACCAATAATATAATTTATTTATTTTAATATTTCACTGTTTGTTTTATTTAATTTGTACCTAAACGTTACCTATTTTTACTTTTTGAATCGCCTGACCCGATCGGTTTTTTTTATACAACCTATTTACCTTTTACACACTTGCGTAAGGCCTATCTGATAGTAAACGGTTGCCGTAGTCTTGTTTACATGAATCATTGTCATTATCTAATGATATTACTTGTGTAGATATAAATGTTTCCTTTAAGTATATCTGTTATTTGAGATCGGTATAAAATGTTTTGTTTCAATCTATCCTTGTATTCAGGTTATCTGTAACAAAAAACAATATTCAGTCGTTATCACTTTAAGGTATTTTTCCTTGAAGTGAAATGAGAACAGAACAGAGAAGTAACAAACAGACTGATGTAATTTCATATTTATAATATTAGTATGGATTTTCTATATATATACCGTGATTTTTTTAAAATTGTTTTTTAACCAGTTTTTCAGATCATAAACAGTTTTTTAGTTAAATCAATCGGACAACACGTTTATTTCGTTCTTAACTATTAACAACCAAAGAGACAATATGCTAGTACTTGTGAGCTAATGTCGGTGGCTTGATATGGCTCTCGAAGTAAACAATACAACCTACAGACAAATCAAATTAAAGACGTTTTTGTATATATAGTAGTGTTATAAAGATATCCACTAAAACCGCAACAAACCAGTTTGAGCTAGTCAAAACTACCGCATCGCTTAGAAGTAGCGTCAAAAATGTCAACCATTTTGATTTTTATTATTTCCGAGTTAAGGAATACTGGGTTTATTTTTTATTTCACGGCCTCGGTGATCTAGCGGTGATTTAGCACACCGCTTTACTTCCGATGGTCGCGGGTTCGATTCCTCGCACTGTGCAAACATTTGTATTCATGAGTACGATTGTTTGTATCAGTCTGGCTGTTTTCTATGCTCTGCTTACCATGGGACTAGATGGCGCTGTATTAATTGTCCAGGGTTTATTATTATTACTGTAAGTTACTGTTGTTGAAGAAATTCACGATTACCTAAATATTACATTTTCTATGTGTGCAAGTGCGTATATATAAAGTATATTTGTTTGTAATGATTTATTTACTGACAGTACACTACTGAAAACGCAAAAACGTCTTTATTTTGATCTACCTGTTTTTATAACTAAATACATAATTATGTCAACAACCTATATAAATATTGTTTTTAGACAAACCGTCAGCATCCGTACAAAATATTGTTTATGAGAATTTACTGTTCCTTTTACAAACAATTTAACATTTAAAATTGACTGTCAACATAGACAATATAATAATTTGCGTATACGTTGTCATTTTGTCGATGTTCTTTTTTGTATATAATTTTTTTTATCATTATCATTGTAAAACCTAAATTTTTAGAATTATAAAATTTTAAAATTTCATATATATTGGGTATTATTATAAAAATCTGAATATTTAATTCTTGCTAATGCAGTTGAGAAATAATTAAGTTAATTTAACTATTATCACTGTCTGTAACCGAACTGGTCATTCTTATGACCGGATTTTGCGTGGAATCGCTGGAATCACACTCAACCATGAGTATTTCGTCAGGACTCTCATTTCTATCAGAATTACTTTCAGTATATGTGCCGGTTGGTGATTTATCTTCAATGACAGCTTTTAAATACGACTCTCGGTCCATTATTGCAGCATCCCTAGCTAAGGCAAGAACGTCAAGGGACATCATACTTTTAGACTTCTCAGTTTTACTTATCGGTGGGTTTGTGTGCTCAAAAATTACTTCTCTGCTAATTGATTTCGTTCTTGCTAAGTTTGATTCTGTCTTCCAACTGTCACTAGGCGGCTGAGGATACTTGTTCCCAGTGTTACTGCTCGTCGATGGGGCGCTGGAGTTTCTTGGCGAGCTCGCAGTGAATTTAGATCTCTTTTGCTGATTATTCTCTTTCATCATTAACAACTGGTCTAGCTTGTTTATTGTCTCGTTAAGTTCCAAAGCCCAGGCCTCGTCTGTTTCTACATCTTTTCTGTCAATAGGTTTCAGCGCTAGTTCTCTAACACGCATTCTTAATTCTTGGAGACTAGATTCTTCGTCTTTCTCGTGTTCCTCCTTAGCATCTACGTCATCATGGATTGGATCTCTTTCGGCTCCTACTCCTGGTTCTCTAGGACCTACAGGTATAGTCTCTTTTCCTGGTGGGTATTCACCTCGTCTTCTGTGTATTTCTTCAGATATCTCCTCTAAAGCTTTAAGAGACTTGGAATAACGGAACTTGGCGTCTGATATGAGTCGTTGCAATTTCCCTATCTTCTCGTTCTGCGTTTGTAATTGTTCATCGCAGAGTTTCTTTTCTTCGAAGTACAAGCGGGATTTTATAATGTTACGTTTCAAGCTTTCCTCTAGCTGGGCCACCTAGAATCAATATCAATGAGTTTTTATGAATCTGTACGTTTGATTGTGTTAATTATTAATAATATAGTTAATTGGTTCTTAATACGAATAATTGTATGATCAATAGTGAAGCCGTGGTCACAGCTAGTATAAAACCCGATAATAATATATAGCAAAAGTGAACGCTTAAAACTAACTGTGTTAAATATGTTTATTAGTTGTTATTATTACTGACACTACAAGTTGCTTTAATTTAGAACTAGATGGGGTATATAATGTCCATTGTTACGTATTATGTTATTCTAAAATTATGAATGAATTCATTCTTACTTTTCTTTCTGCAGTAATATACGCCGCCGCTTTCTTCTGATGTTCGCGACCGCTCTCTGCTTTTCTCTTTTCTGCGTCCATAACCTAAATATTAAACACCTACATTAATACATTTTCAACTATTGCTATCATGAAAACCAAAACAGTATTATAATTATTATCATCTCTGGTAGCCGTCCCAATGTTAATTTCTCGTGTCCCTGCGACAGTAACACTCCACAGACTCTACAACACATATTATCACACTGCCCCCGTTTTGGCGCGCTAAGAAACGAAATAAGTATACAGATAAATACGGAAATAAAAGAGGAAAAGTATAGAGAAATTATAGAAAACAGAAAGAAAAGAGAGAAATTTATAGAGTACAGTACAACATTAATAGGAAAAGTGGCAAAAGAAAATAGTAAATAAGTCTATATTACATAGTATAATGGGTATACTGATGTATAATATAGTAAAAATAAAATTGTAATAAAAATAGAATATAAAATAGGAAATGTAGTGTAAAATAAGTAGAAGTAAGTAAATAGATAAGGTAATAAAAATAATAGAAATAATAGCAGATATAAGTACCCTGAAGAATGTATCACCAAAATAAAATAAATGTAAACTAGGATAAGATAACAATTGTAAAAATAAAAATAGTGTGTGTGTAATTAATTCCATATAATAAACCTGGAATTTAAATCAAGAGAACCTGGCTTGTAAGTAGTTATAAGTTAGTCGACGGCCCACACTGAAATAGCGGTGGGGAGGTAGGCTCCGATAATTAAAAAAAAAAACGTTAATTTCATTTGCTTTAAGGTAAGTCAAAACTTAACTAAGTTACAGGTTATCTTTAGTCAAGTTTTCCGATTGTATAATATTTATAAAATCAAGAGAAGTATAATTCTCGTTCTCTATGATTTATAATATTTATTAATGTTTTCAATTGTTAAACAAAACAAAACTAACGAACTTCTATTGCTGATTTTACCACCGCGTCACTTTTATGACTGATTTTATATTGGAAATATTGGAAAAATGGTTGCCATGTCACAAATATTCTCGACGAAGTATGGTCTACTTACCTTGATGATGGCGTGGTTAAGGACCTCCTGCCAGTTGCTATCGAATTGCCACTCATCTTGTTTGCTCACGAAACGTTGTTCCGCTAGTGTCACGGTTTCTTTAGCGGCTGCGTGTAGTTCTGCAAGTTAATATATAAATTAATAATTATGGCTAATGTCAACACAAACGCCGGTGCCAGAAGAAAATAAAATTAATACTCCTCGAAAATTCATCGCCATCTAGTCTCAAGATAAGAAGAATGTTATGGGTACTAAACAACTGATAAAAAAATTAAAATACTTTGTTTTTTATATTATGTATTTATATAGAAAACACCTAGATATTTTTTCATACTCATGAATAGAAATGTTTGTATTTTGCGAGGAATCGAACCCACGACCATCGGAAGTACGTGCAGTAAACCGCTAGATCACCGAGACCGTCAATTTTGTATAGGTAGACAATTATAATTTGATATTTCGTATTCGTGTAGTTTTATACCAACTTTAAAAAGGCGTAATTTTGTTCGTGTTCTGCTTTATTACAATACGAAGTTTCCTACCTTCTTTGTTTATATCAATTTGTTCAATATATTTGAACAAATTGATACTTTATTTGACTTTTATGAAGAGGGTATAGAATATTAGTTTTTGATTTTTATTAAGAGAGAATAAAAGTTTTTATTAATATTTCCTTTCATGAAAATATTTGACTTCATAACGCTGTGTGCGTGTTTTTAATGTGAAGGTATTATGTCTTTAAAAATACATTATTAATATAGTTAGAGAGGTTTTAACACGAATAATTTTGAGGTAAATGAATTTACTTTTCTACCGCTGTTAGGCCAGTCAGCTCATGACCACGGCTAATGCAACCTAGTCGAAACGTCGAGACAGGTAAACACCTTTAGTTACCATAAAATTATTCGTGTTAAAACCCCCTTAATTATATATATACTAGAATTTATGTTAATCAGTTCCATATAAGCTCTACTTAGTTGAATCTATATTAATTATCTAGGTAAAGAATTACATACTTATGAACAAAAATAGGGTCGAATAGAATTGAACCTCTAAATATCGGTGGAAACCTGTTTAATCACAAATACATGAGTCATAGCCCAGATTGTGTAACATACCACATGTTAAGTTATCTAATCTAACATTTTCTGTCAGTCAAACTCGTGTTAGAACATTTACTATATAAATAATATTTAGTGTTTGCTTGCAATAGAACATTTAAAGTTATATAATATTTTATCGAATGTTATTTAGCGGAAGTCCATTTCACTACTAATGGGACTTTACTGGCAAGAAATGCCAGGATTGATACATTCACAAGCCCTAATATCGGGCTACTCGAACAAATACTTCAATAGAATACTGCTATTGAATAAAAACAACATATGCATGATGACTAGGGCCCTCACAGGACACTGCAATTAAACAAGCATATGTCAAAACTAGGCCTATGCACGACAAAAATCTGCAGATTCTGCCAAACTGAAGAGGAAATGCCATTACACATCCTATGTGGTTGTAGCCTACTCATGCATAAACGAAATATCTTCTTTGGAAAGTTTACACTCTTTCCCGAGGAGATAAAAACCATCGCTCCTAAGAATATCCTTCAATTCTTGTCCCTGACGGGTCTAGGTAGCGAACTCTGAAAAATGGCGAGCACAATAGATCTATGTAGGTCGCAGTGCTATAGGTGCTACAAACATCTGACAATAGCCCAAACAACCCAATAAATAAAAAAAAAATTGTTTAGTTTAATTCCGCTGCAATTATCATGTATGAGACCACAAATATTCAGTAAGGTAATTGATTACCGTTACAACCTTCTCTAATAGTCATCAAATTCTAATATAATAATAATTTAAATAAAAATATAATTATAAAATTAAAAACAAGAAAAATGGATCGATGAGTTTAGTTTAGATTCCAGTGACGTCACAAAACTGACTCCTTTCCCTCCCCTAGTCGCACAACTTCATATTTTATCGACCCTTAACATGTGATCATAATAAATATTGAGTTCAAATAATAATATACTTAAACCATGCCGTTATTACGGACGTTCCAATATTTAAGGGGCGGGTGCGCACGCGCAGGAAGTCACTTATCGAGCGGATCGTCGCTTATTATAGTCTGCGTTGTTTAATTTAATAAACCTTCCATTCCGACATTGTAATATTGCATAACACACAACCCGTTGGAATTACAATTCATCCCAAAGTTTTTATAGTATTACCCAATCTGATCCTAATCCAAGAATTCATCCAAAGAAGGTTTTATAGATGACTCAAGCTAATTGTCGCTGATTGCCAGAGATAGTGGCCAGCGAGCCAGAAATAGGTCGAAGATAAAAGAACTGGGTAGCTGGAGTGGAATAGTCTTACTTTTAGTAATATTATAATCACGAAAGTTTGTGAGTATAGATGGATGAATGATTACTCATTCACACAAAAATTACGGAACGGATTTTTATAAAACTTTCCAGTAATATATCTTACACATCAGAATAACACATCATTACATTTGACGACCTCGGTGGTCTAGCGGTCTAGCAGACCGCTTTACGACCGATGGTCGCGGGTTCGATTCCTCGCACGGCACAAACATTTGTAATCATGAGTATGTTAGTATGTTATTGTATTATGTAGATTGTTTGTATCGGTCTGGGTGTTTTCTATGTATATGTATGTATTTACGAAAAAAAAAATCTATGTATTTGTATCAGTTGTCTAGTACCCACTACATAAGCTCTGCTTAGCTTGCACTAGACGGTGCAGTGTGAATTGTCTAGGGTCATTATTAATATACAGTAATTGAATTAAGCGACGTCTGTCCACGTCATGGGGAAACAAATTAGAATTTTATTACTGAACGCCCACCAATGGACCAATTAGGTCATGAAAAGACGTATCTATCGAAATTAGGGTTACCACTGACATTTAGATTACGAAAATTGGAAAACTAATGAAACATCGTCAAGTGGTTTAAGTCGAAATTTGACCACTGTCTGGGCTGTATAATTAATTTAAATTATAAGTTTCAATATTAATAAGGTTCTATTGATAAATAATATGAAAAATAAACAATATATATCTATCTCAATTTGACCATAGACTTTAACAATCTTATTAATATTATAAACTTGAAAGTTTGTGAGTATGGATGGCTGTTTGTTACTCTTTCACGCAAAAACTACTGAACGGATTTTGATGAAACTATACAGTAATATAGCTTATAAATCAGACTAACATGTAGGCTATAAATTTCTAGCGGGTGAAACCGCGGGCACAGCTAGTAAACAATATGCGTGTGTGTCAAATACATGTTTTTTTATTTAATAATAAAAAAAAATATTAGAAGTCTCCACTCTTTTCTTCTTCTCTATATAAACTACAATTTCCTACTCCACCGTCCACGCAATTTTCGTAAAAAGGGGTACAAAGTTTTTGCTTCCCGTATTAATGTTATGATTACGCGATTGAATAATAATAATATTTATTTACTTTTGTACAATAACATTATTTTATAAGCCGTAACATCTGTTAGAATTAACAAGTGTTTTTAGGAAGCAAAAAATGAAAATCAAATATAGTCACAGAATTAGGGATGAGTGAGAATCTAGTTTTGACAACCCTAACCGAAACAGAATATCACAGTGCACACATTCCGAGTCTATTAGTATTTTTAGTCTGTCGATAAAGCAGTAACCATATTACATATCTGTGTAACGCGCTATCAATGTACCTCTTTGTATTCACAGATAGCTTTGCTATGTTAGAGTTCTCTTTCTTGCAAGTTATGCAATATAATATATATATATAAATAGTGTCTGTTTGTAATATTGAAATATATATATATATATATATAATATATGTAACTCAGGCTACTTTTATTTTAGAAAAATAAAGTTAAATTCCACGCGGACGAAGTCGCGGGAACACTAGTATAATATATATATAATAGGTAATTTTGCGAAAAATATAAAAAAAATCTAATCTGTCAATTCCTAAATCGAATTGACAGCCTCGGTGGTCTAGCGGTTTCGCCCACCGACGATGGTCGCGGGTTTGATTTCGTCGCAGGGTATAAACATTCGTATTCGTATATTAGGCCTGGGTATATTCTATGTATTTTCAAAAAAAATATTATAAAGTATCTATGTATTTATATGTCAGTTGTTGTCTGGTATCCATAATACAACACTTAGCTTGGGTATAGATGGCGCTATTTTTTCGGACGACTCTAATGCTATTGGCCGTAGCTGGCCTTTACAGCTTCACGGGACGATAGGGGGCGCGAGGGCAGATGGCACTCCAAACACGCGGAAGGACTTAAGGAGCTGCTGAAGGCCAACTACCGTCCGACGGATACGTAGATAGCGCTGTGTGAATTATCTTGAGATATACATTGTTATGTTATATCTATTTCAGCAGCCAAGCGAGATTACAGACGTGGATATCAGGCAGTGAAATAACAGGATATTTCAATACCATTCATATTACATCGAAAAAACCCTGACATCAACTTTAGCTTTGTACGGTGGACTACTGGCCGTGACCGAGGGCCTCCGCGCCAGGGTCAAGTTCGGGTGGAAATAGCACATTGGGGCACCCCACAGGAAGTATTTATCTGCAGCGTGATAACACTGTCGCCTGATAACTAACACTGCAATGTTCCTGTAATTTGGCAATTATTTGCAACCATTCCTCGCGTTATTTTAATCTCCGCTGCAAAAAAAAATACCTTTCAGAGACCTTTACCTCTCTGTGGGTTACCGGGAATAGCAAGAACTTTGCTCACCAATTGGAAACTAACAGCATATTTTTATAAGTAACTGGAATGACAAGCTGGTGGCCAACCTGGTGGAAAGTACATGAACTGTCGCCTAAATATATGAACAGTGCTACGAATATCACGTCATCATTTGATGCCCGTGATACCCCTCATGCCAATTACTCCGAAAGATTACTTAAAGGTTATATTATTTTGTTCAATTCACTTACAAAGTACAGTGAGTAATAATGAATGAAAATAATGGAGATGCTTGTAGAGACACCGCTCGCCATCGACAGGGAATTCGTCCCCACACGTTGGAACCTAAGTGGTCTCGGACAGTGCGGTTTCAGAGGAGCTTTCTCCTGCGTACACTTACATTGTGGCTACTACCTGCCGAGGTTTTCTCGAGAGAAAGGTTTCTATAATGGTCGGCAAAGCGCATGTGTCGCCCCTGGTGTTTTAGATAATGCGTTCATAGGCTACTGATGGTAACCGTTTACCATCAGATGGGCCGTATGTTTGTTTGCCACCTACGTGGTATAAAAAAAAAGAGACGCTTATTATAGCAGAGTGAAGTGACAGAAGTGTATAAAAACAATTGTATAAAATGAATACTCATATTTTAAATATGGATAAAAGAATATACAAAAACTGCCCTGTTTCTCATTGTAGCTCTAACATAGTGTTTGGTGGCTAAAATAGGCGAGGCAACGGTATACTCCGCGCATCTTATGTACCGTTATTTAACTTTCTTTTTAAATTACAGGATAAGATGCATACATGAGACCGTCTTTCTCTGGAAACGCAACGCACGAGTGGTATCTCGGGTGTCACATGATAACGTGATGTCCGTAGGGCTTTTCATCTATATGGATACCGCATACCTACGAGTCGTCACCTTGTTTGCTATTTAAATTACTTAAAAAAATAAACAGATCAACATATTTTTTTATAAATAAATTCACTCACCACTAGCTCTCTGGAATTGAACCGCCGCCTTCTGGCACTCTGACCTGGCTGAAGTTGCTACACCGACAGCATCATAGTACGGCCTTGACTTGTCGACGCATGTGCCCATTCGTTTCGTCAGAGCTTGTAAGCGGCGGCTGGTCTCGTTGAGGAGCAGATGAAACGTTTTCATAGACTCCTGGAATGCGGAAGGTGTAGATAAGAAGAGTATCTCGACAACATAATGGTAATATAATAATGGAAACTAAAAATAAACTGATTAACTTTAAAAGGTTTTGGGAAATTTAAAATTACGATAGTTTTTCTAATATTTTTAAAATATATTGTTACGTTTACGTTTATTTAAATATTTTAATATGTGGATGGATATAAGGCCCGAGGAAGACAGAAAAAAGATGAATGGATTGTATGAAAGATGATATGGTAAGAAAGGGAGTAAATAATGAGATGACTGCGAACAGGGATGAATGGAAGCGAAAAACATATTACACCGACCACAAATAAATGGGATAAGGAAGAAGCAGGTGATAATGATGATGGCTTCGCATATGAATTAAAAGATGTTTTGAATTTTTTATATGGTTTGGTATCTTATTGTAATTTTTTATATCCATTACCATAAAACACCTTATGATTTTTTCTAAATGATACTTAGGAACACCAAAACTGTCTTTAGATCTAGTATTAATGTTATGAATATTGGCTGTATATTGTTTATTTGCTTAGCCAGCTACCTACAAATCCTATTTTCAGATTATATAACTACGGATAAGTACACTTTTGTTTGCAATCATGCATCATATCTATGTAGATTATAATTATCACGATTTCTACAATTAACGTTGTTAGGCGTGGTTCCATTGCCGGCGAGATGATAATGTATTTATAAAAATCATGTGAAACTGGCTCTGGACCACGGTTTCACTACCTGTTTAATTTATTAAAAACTATCTACTCGCTCCGGCTTCGCACGGGAGTACATGTATTATATGTATAAACCTTCCTCCAGAATCACTCTACGTAGTTTTGAAGATTTAAGCATACATAGGGACAGACAGCGATAGTGACTTTATTTTACACTATGTAATGACGATAGGATGATATTATATAGTCTTTGCGGTGTAAATATTTTTCATACAAACAGTTTTAAAGTATTTCTAAATGTGAATATCTATTTGTATATTTTTATTTAAATCTTATTTTAAACAAACGGTAATCTTTTTGGACCTAATAAAATATTAATTTCATTTAAAAAACTAACCTTAATCATCACTCCCTTGTTTCATTCCACTACTTGGGGACGGCACAACTAAAATATCTCTACATAATATAAAGTAACATCGCAGCCGCCGTCTTCTCGCTGCTATCTTTAAAATTATGCAAGGGATTTTAATGCAGTTTTCAGCAATAGATAGAGTGATTCTAGAGGACGATTTATATGTATAATATGCGTGTTATAGTATAGAACAAGTCGAGAAATTCAAAGATTTCTAATGTGAAGCCGGGACAAGTCGCTATTTGGTAATAAATAAAAATATTCCTTTTTATGTGTTCAAGGAAATAGGAAATATCTGTATAATTATTATAATATTTTTTTTTGGTAATAAAAACAATTAAATTGATAGGAGGCTGGTGTATTCCTGTATTCACATGAAAGTCCCGTTACAAGAGAAAGTGTTGCCATTTTACAAAATTAAAAATTATTTAAATATAATGCTAAGGTTTCCAATAGCATCTTAGGCTAACAATATATGCGTGTTCATATCTACATGACAATGTGTGTCTTCGCTCATGTGAAGACATCTGTGGAGCGTAACAGATAAAAAAGGGACGGTGCGTATCGTACGCAGCGTAGCATATAGGCATTGAAACAACACCGACGCACTGAGAAAGTGCAACTTGTTGAAGTCGGGTGAATATATATCTAATAGAAAAGTTAAACTTATATTAAAAGGGTGGAAGGAGATTGTTAGAATTGGAGACTAGTGACCCGATCGCTAGGAATATATCATATTAGATCGCTGTTCCCTTTGGAAACCCTTTGTGATATATAAGTTTGGCACATGGAATTACCATGTGCCAAACTTATCATCCTCCACGAGTTTACAGCTCAGATGGGTGCACCATTCCATTATCATCCGTTAAAAATATAAAAAATATTAGATATAACTATAATTGATTGCACTCGCTCGAACCCACGTATTGCTAGTAAATATAGAATTACATTTTGAATAATAATATTTGAACAATAGTTATTGAAACATGACTTCAAACTTTGACGAAGATTTATTAATAACGAACAATTATTCAATACAAAAATAACTTTAGTTCCATTTCATTACGATAGCAAATATTCTGTCTGTCTGTGAGGTTGTCGAGGTAATCTCTGAACTCTGAAATCTACTGAATCGATTTCGAAAAATATTATACCAAATAGAATTTAAGAAACAGGTCATTTGTGAGATATATAATATCACGCTATGTCCAATAGGAACGGAGCCGCACAAAAATCGAACCGAAATCGGGGAAAATATGACAAAGACGAAGTTGCATTTGTCGGCTAGTTACAAATATGTTTAGGTTAAAATGAAACTTCATAAACGTGTAAAGCTACGGGTTACAGATAGCGAGTCACATTGCAATACATACAGATAAGAGTCAAGGTGCGTCGGTCAATAAGTGATATTAACCCGAGGTCAGCGCGGACGCAGCGCGATTAGGTCAATTGTAGCGGCCACTGCACAAACATATTTTTATACAATAGTAATAACATCATGAACTCTTGTCGTAATTGCGATTATTAGGTCTAACGAAGAAACGACGCAACCATATAGTAGCTTGTCATACAAGATAGACTTGACAGTACTATACTCCGTAGACGATCACCCATGCGATGGATCGACCGAGTCAAAGCAGCAATAGGCGGTCCACTCCACGAGTCTACCAGAGTGGCAGCCAGTAGAGACAAATGGCGAGCTGTTTACAATTTTATTTTCTCATACAAACGTGCGTTCTGAAATCTATTGGGTAACTAAACTTAAAAAAGCCTTTGATATAGTATTTCATTCTAAGGCAGAACTGAGTTCGCGGGGTCAGCTAAGGATTTAATAAATGAATTGCCGAGGTTTTCTCGAAAAACGACGACTACTTTCAATGATATATTAAGGTTTCTTAAGGGCCGGCGACGCACACGTACATGATCCGTAATGGTTTACCATTTGGGCTGTATGCTTGTTTGCCACCATCGTAGTTTCTACTATAAATCTAGGAACTAGATTTGTTATAAAAATTTTGTTCGTGGATTAAATATGATCTGGAAAACATTTCTGCTCCTTAATCAAACCAATACCTACACATGGTAATTTGAAGCCATCAAGATAACTAGTTTAACGTATCGGTCTACTCGTTATTCATACACGTAATAAGTATAGAGCAACGTAACGGATTTGAACCGGTGTTAAACTGGTAGGGCGGTAACAAGATTTCTTTCATCTTGTTTGTAAAGAGGTCAGCGTCCAGCTTAAGTACAGTCCTAAAGAAAAGCGAAGCAGCGTATAGCATACAATAATAAAAACGTAAACTAAATCTGCTGGAGTCATAACGTTACTTTTCAAAAGTGTATATTTTTAATTTGTTAAAGGGAGGCAACGCGCTCTTGACCTAGTGTTTTAGGCGTCCAGAGGCTACGGTAACCGTTTACTATCAAATAACAGTATGCATGTTGCCAACACTGTGATATTAAAAATAATAACCTGACAGTCCACTTGTTGGAAACAGTCTACCGACATCCAAGAACATTTCAGACTTCAGAGAAGTTCCAAATACTACCAGGCTGTATCCACGTTTTTGAATGACCCAATGGTAGGAATTCTTAAAGAGGGAAATCAAAAATATATTTTCAACATTTCTATTTTGCAATTAATGTATGTAACTAATGAAGAAATAGGTTGGCTTATGTAATGCAGTGGTATATTTCTTATTCAAAGTAAATTGCAATGCATTTATAAGATACATGCATTTTATATCTTTATAAATATATTATTTTTTTAATATAGCCCTCTCCCGGTGGATGTTCAGCTTTACATGAACAGGATTGTCATATGTCATTCTTATAGTAGAGCCATTGTTATGTATAATGCAAATAAAGATGCGACATCCAAGCCCTGTTTGCGTTTCAAAAGACAGTATTATTTACAAGAATGTCTCTTGTTCTATTATGCATTCCAGAACAGACACACTTGAAAGAGTATGTTACTTATATATAGTTATTGTTATAGACGGAGATGCTTCACATATTTTGTAAACAAAATTTAGTATTTGTATAATTTTAAATACACAGAAGTCCTTCCAAACTTCCTTCTGACCTGAAGATAGATTTGACTTGTCATGAGTGTTTAAAAAATAAAAAAAAAAGTTTACAAAATCATAGATCGAGTAATTTGATTCCATTTTTAAATGTATTATAGTAAACTTGAGAAGAGAATGTAGAAAACATGGCACTTTTGGCGCGAATTGACACAATCGAATTGGCGCTTTTAAATTATTTTTAAAAATTCTTCTTCCATTTGTTAGTAATAATTTCCCTAATCTAATATCAGTATAGTTTTTATTATCTAATAGTAGTATTGCAATTATAGTGATTACTATTACAAATACTATTTTAAATTGTGTAAATAAATAAAAAAAAGAAAAGAAAAATAATTTTGCCTCGTTACTACACCGTGTGAATCTGTGAGCCAACATATTACACCTCGTCGTCAACTCCCTGCGTTCTATATGTCTGTCTGATCATTAAGATCCTCAGTCACAAAATATTATTGTTACTTATAATGCGCTACCCGCTAATATCGTTTTGAACCCAGAATTTTTTCCTGGTAATGTTAAGGTTATGAATAGAGCGTTTTATCTAAAGACTACATTACGTTCTTTAGAAGGTGTAATATGGTTTCCAAAGGGTATGCAACGAGTGCGTAATTCTGTAATACTTTTGGTGTTGAAAACAGAGTCTTAGGTAATCGTTTATCAAAGTATCGACCTTGTGCTTGTTTGCCATAATTCTGGTATAAAAAAATTGTATATTATTATTAAATAGAAATTATATTGTCATTAAACAAGCTATTTATTAAAAATAATTGTTATTTTTTTTAGAATCGTAACTAATATTATAAATGCAAAAAG